TGCCTGAAACCAGCAGCTAATTCGTTTGAGTTCAGGTCGATGAACTTGGCTCTCAATCCTTGCAATGAAGAGCGCACATCCTTTGTTGTGCTTTGTCGCCACGCGGGAGCGTGTGCCTTGATGGCTTTGTTCCTGCTTTCTAAAAGGTTGGCATTGCACTCCCAGTTCCGCTGCGCAAAAGAGATTATCTTTGTGAGCTTGCTTTGAACTTTCATGCATGAATCAGTTGAGACATGTTCAACCCTAGCATCAAAGAATGACAGTGCCTTATGTGATCCGTCCTTGAGGTCAACCATCCTCTCCATCTCAAGGCACGTTCCGGTTCGATGCTTCGCACGTACCGGGGGACCGGATACCTTCGTAGGTCCTTAATTAGTGCACTGTACATAACTTCACTCCTCCCATTTTCGTTCAGCGGGGGGGTGTTGTTTCACGCTAGGATGTCTAATACATGTCTCACTTACCTACCATTTTGGCTCAAGGAAAACCAGGTGCGACTTGTTGGTAGTTCTCGGTCGTTTACCTGTAACTACATAAATAGTCGTTAACTTGTAGAGGATCGATTTCTTTTCTTCTGGGCTTAGGGGGGAGTGATCCTCCGGCTTTGCGACCAGAGTGCTTGTGCTGGCAAGCTGGGCCCATGTGGTTTGTGGTTTGTGGTTTCGATGTTCAGAACGGTAGGAGGTCTCATTCTTCTGAATCTGACGAGATCACGCCCAGGTAATGCACCAACTGCGCAGCAACAATCGGCACGTCTACTTGGAGTTCTTTTCGGACTACCCGCGCCGAGACAAATTCTTGTATGCGAGATCCAGCTACAACAACCTGCCAGGCTCAGTGCTACTGACGGATGATTCCAAGAAGAACCCCAAGGACGAGGAAAAGACCGAGGAGGGAAGGAAGAAAGGTGAACAAGCCTTATGCCGAATCGACTTCGACTTGAAGAATGTGAAGCTGAAGATTCCAAAGGTCCCCTTTACCATCCATGGACGGCTCATGGCCAAAGATGACTTCTTTCCCACGGTGGTAGCCAGCTTTCAGCTGCAAGTCACTAAGGAGGAGGTCTTTGATCGACGGAATGATCAGCCTGTGACCAAGAATCCGGACTTCATCGAAGTGCCATTGACCCTTGGGACGGATGAAGTCCGGATGAAAAGGGATGGAAAAAACGATCGGAACAGCACCCGACTTGCCGGGGTCTCCCCAAGTTGAAGGCTTTGTTATGATGAACAACGCGTTGCTTCGATGAACACCTCCAGCTTCCAGTGTGAAATTCTTGAGACTTCCAGCTTCCTTTACACCTCCAGCTGCACTTGAAAAGCTCCTAAAGGAACCTCCGGCTTCATTTTGTCACGAATCACCCACCATTCCGTTTAATTCCTTCCTTCCAAGTCCTCTCAATTTGGAAGAAAAACACCACCCAAAAATTCATCCTAAACCTTCCCAACCCCCCCCCCTAGTCCCACTGATGGAGTGCCTCCTTGGCTCGCTCCTTCAGCTCCGGCTTCAATCAACGCCGCGCGCCCTCTCCGAGGGAGCGAGCCTGGCGGGGTGAGGGGCCCTCGGAGATCGCCGCCTTGAGCGTTCGCTTCCTGGGCCCCGTGGCAGAAAGGCAAGCAGGGCAAAGCTGGCCGAGAGGTTGGCCTGGTCCCATTATATATATATATATATTATTTTATACACATGCCTAGAACCCATTTGACCTCTGTTTTGATAGGAAAAGACCATATTTTAGGTGGTTGGTGGTCCAAAATAGAGGTCATTCAGGTTCTAGGTAACTGTATAGATTAATGCACATATGCAACATATAATCCATTATTTATAATAAACACACACATGTCTTACCGGGATGCTGGTGAGTCAAGAGGAGCGAAAGAAGCTTTTTCTGGGGGGGGGGACCTTGCAGGGGGCCTGGGGTGGTTGTAGGATGGTGGAGGGACAGAAAAGTGTGGGGTGACAGCTGGTGGTCGTGTGGGGCCGGGCTTGGGGTGTGGGAACGTGGGTGAGTGAAAACTCACACCCTCCAAGCACCTGGCTGCTGGAAATGGCATGATCTTTGGGATCGGTCGAGGTGGATCTTTTCGTCAATGGCTGAGCGACCAGACTTCAGCCCCGATCTGCATCATAGAAGCGAGTTGATTTCGGGGCTCGCTGCGCCCCCACCCCTTGTGCATGCCGCATGTTCGACACATGGTCGAGGACGAAACCGTTTGAAGTGAGGTTATGTGAAGGATGATATGGTGAGGAAGAAGCAGTCAGGCCTGGTTTGGCACATTGGTTGACTCACGAAGCTACTACCTTGAGGGTGCTTTTGATGACTCGTGTTTAGCATGTCTGCATCTCGTTTTGGCATTACTTCCATGACGACCACCTGGAGCTTGCCATTCTTTTGTCCAGCCTGCCAGGTCAACAGCGAAACGCTTCCTGCCGCAGTCAGGCATCGAAACGACCATGAGCTGTCACTTCCTGTGGATGTGGGACGAAAATCGGGACATCTGGACGACCATGCCGAGATCGTCCTTTTCGTCCTTTTAGCTAGTCTTTTTGTTTGGGGTTTCCTAAGGAATCTTGAGGTGTTGACATTGTGCGCTGTCGGGACCTTTGGGACTCTTGGTGAGGACAGTGGAAGTTCGGACAGCGAAGGGGCAGAAGAAGGTGAAGAGGAGGACGAATCTGACGACGAGGAGGAGGAAGAGAATGATGACGAAGATGAGGAAGGCACGTCGTCCAAACATCACCCAACCAAACCAAACCCTCAAATGGTCTTGCACCCCACGGGCCCCACGTAGATCCAGATGGAAGGAGCTGGGTGACTTCCAATGCAGCTGAGAAACCCGACAAACGAGCCACGTCTCCACCCCTCGAGCTTCGAGACCAGGTAATGCCAATGCTTTGGGCAGCAGTGGGACCATGAGATCTTCTCAAACTTCCTCCGGCCAATCGTGAGTTGGGTTGGAAGCAGGCTGCATCCGAGAAATCCCGCACACCCAAAGAACCACCTTCAAACAGCCAAATCGACCAACTCAGCAGCTCAAAATGACGAGCTCCAAAAGCTCGGACCCTTCATTTTTTGGTTTCGGCCCGCGAAGCGCGTGGCTGAAACGGGTCCTGTTTCACCTGGCCAGGTGCGCAGTCATGTGGAAAAGCCAGCGCTTCGGGCCAAAAAGCGGGCCTTCATCTGTTGAGTTGCGAATGGGTGAGTTGGATGGGCTCAGCACCACGCAAACCCAAACCTTGATATGGGATGTTTCAATCCGAATTGCCTCCAACCAAAAACCACCCCGCGCCGCACCCTCGCCACACCCGCGCCGCACTGGGGACTGCATGTGGCTCACAGTGGTCGGCAGCTCAATGTCAGCTGCCGACGAGCGGGAGGGGTCACTGGAGGCGGCCGCAGCAGTGCCCTCGGCGGCGGGTCATGCCGACAAAGCCGAAAAGGCGGTGAAAGGCGGGGCTGTGGAGGGGCTGGGCTGCTGGCTGGTCCAGTGCAAAGGGCGGGCAGTTTTGAAGGTTTGTTTTAGCTAAGCTTTTGAGACTGAGCACCGCCGCCTCTATCGCGGCCATATTGACCATTCAGCCAACCCCCAGCAGTTGAATGCAGTTGAAGGCTCTCAGTGTGCCCCTGATCTCAGGAGCGGGGAGAGCCACTTTGAACGCCACTCCCTTCGGCCCCAAAAGCGTTAGGCCGAGAAGCTGCCAAGCGCCGCGCACCGAAGACGAGCGCCCAGCGGCCAGGGTGCCCCGAAACGGCAGATGACCAGCTCCGGCTGTGCCCGGTGCCCGGCGCCCGGCCGTCACCGAGGCCAAAGCTGCCGATCAAGGCCTTCGCACTGAGGTGGGGTGATGTGTATCTTTCTTGGAAGTGACCTTGGGAAGGTGGAAGGGGTCTTCCAGGCATGCATGAAATTTGAACTATATTGAATATGTGTATGTGTGTATGTATACATATATATACACATATATACATATAAAAACGCTAATGCCTGAAAACAATACAGGCCGCCCTTTGTAGTGTGGGAGTCACTTGAAATCGCTGTTTGCCCGTGGGCTTTAATGTGTTGATGGACATCACACTCCATGTTCCATCATTTCTTTACCAGTTCCATCTGGGTCGTGCAGTCTAGGTCAAGGGTGGCTGGCCATACTCTTAACGAAAACCTCGCAAGAAGGACGGACTTCAGCCCCCAAGCCCACGTGGCTGAAAGAGGCCGCGGGCGGGCTTCGGTGGTCCAGTGGCTGTGGCCACCCGGAAGCTCATCGCTGGGATCGATGCCAATGAAGCTCGGAGGGAGCTCAGCCAGGGATCAACAACTCGTCAAGTAGGTCACAATGTATTTGTTGTCATTTTTATTGACGGTGCTTCAGATGATGGGGCTTGCAAGTTGTTCATTGTCTTTTCCCAGACGCCGCGCGCATTTTTTGTGGCAGAGATGACACACCTCATGGTTTCTGGCTATTTCCGAAATCCACGTCGCTTCGCCACTTCACGTCATCCAAGGCCGTTGGCCCAGTGCTCTCGCTTCGAACCTCCCTGCCGATGCCTCAGGATCTCATCCCCCACCGTCTGCCGCGCTGACCAGCCGCGTCGCGCGCGACTTATGGCGAAGTTGTGAGGCCTGAGTGCAAGGGGCCAGACCTACATGCTCTGCCTCTCGGCGGCATAGCCGGAGAGGTCTGCGGAAAAAGACCTCTCCACACCAGTCGCCAGAAGTCCCTCCCTTCGTTCAGAAAAGGACTTGTTTCGTGCCACCCTCCCACCCTCCCGTGCCATTGGAGGCTCAGGGCGCTCGAGCATTATGAGCACGTGCACTTCTTGAGCTTTGGCTTCTCGATGCAGCGCGAGTGCCGAAGAAAAACTGCCCGACCGTTGGAGGATGGTTTTCTTGGTTTGTTGTTCCTTTGTGCCCCGGCCCGCCAGGTGAAAGCATGACCAAATCTCTTTTCGCCCCTAGACACTGGCCGTCATTCATGGAACATGGTGGAACGAGTTGAACATCGAAGGCAGATGGATGTAGACAGATGAAACCATGCCATACAAGAGATTATTTCCTTAGGTGGCAGTATAGTACTGTCCCACCTAAGTATTAGTAAGGTATTATGTAGGCCTTGGTTCTGGGTGGTTCTTCCGCTGACCGTCACCGTCGTACGGTCCGCGCTCACCTGCCCCTCAGCTGCCCTCAGCAGCCCAGGTTGCAACAAAGCCTTGGCAAGCTCCCAGTCGTGCGAAGCCCCAGATTTGGGATGGCGGCATCAAATGAGCAAACTCCCATCAACTGGGGGCTGCAATAGAGTCTAGAGGAATCCAGGAATCCTTTTGCAGAATTTTGACTTTAGAAGAAAAGAGTTGGTGAAGAAGCAGCAAAGCAACCAGGCTTGTTTGGGTGCGACCAAATGAGTGAGGCTTGGCATGATGCTCGTGAGCGTTCTCCAGCGCCACTTGTTTTGGTTGTTCGTGAGGGCTTTGGGGACGGCTGGTGCTTTCCGATGGGTGGAAATTGCTGCGGATGCACAGGTTTAGTCTCGCATGGTTTGCTCGGAAGACTTTTGAGTTTTGGTTTGCTCGTTGGCAAGTGGTAGCGCAACGCATTTGACGTTGTTTTGCTCACACGCCCAAGTCTGGGGATAAGCGTGGGGATGCTGATGGGTGAGGGTGGCCCGTTCTCAAAGAGGTTTTCCAACTTTCGGATGTTTTTCAGTGCAGCATGGAGGAAAAGCACCCCAAGGGGAGCGAGCGATGCAGGCGGGTTCATTTGGGCTTGCGACTTTGGGGAGCTGTACTTTCATCATGATGTTTTAGTGCGCGCCTCAGTTTCGCTCGACTAAAAAAATTATGCGATCTCTTTGAAATGCCTTGAGTTGCAGCAAGTTTCGCCTGGTAGGAGACGTGTTGGCCCGGATTCAGTTGTTCCGTGTTCGGGTTTTGTGCCCTTGCATTGACAACATCCTTTCTGAATTGGTGATGGACGTGCTGTGATTGGGGGGTTGCTTTGATGATTCATTGTGCAATTTTGGTTGGAGATTGGTGGGTAGTTGAAATACTATATTCCTTTCAAGGCCACGCGTGCCTGCACGCGGCATATATTGTGTGTATATATATATATAATTTTGTTGTTATACATATGACCGAAAATGCATTTGTGTACATATGTTACATATGCATGTGAATACATACGCACCTACACTCAATTCACTCAATATACTCAACCATAGATTGCATCAATACCTTTCAAAAGCGTAGTTCTAGGTCTGCATCCGGTATGGTTCAATCACAATTGCTTCGATCCTTGCTTGAGGATTGCATTCTCGATGGCTTGGAGGGCCCGCCTCCGAAGAAGCTCCCCACCAGATGCTTGAATGAATGTTGTACAGAGCAGCTCAGGGCAGTCTTGAGACCAAAGCGGAGGCCCAGTCCATGAACACAGGTTCGATCTCTTGACCTATTATTTCTGTTTTCTTCTTCTCCAACTGACTGAAGGATAGAGGAAAAAGATTTCGGGGTTCATATGGGGCGTCGACCTCAGGGGTAACATGGAGATGGGAAACCCAAAGAAGTGGATCACAACAATCAGGTCCCAATGCAAGAACTTTACGTTGAATCAATTCTGTGGCCATTGGTGGGTGGTAAAAAGTTTTTCTTTGGTTGTTGTTGCACATTTTTTCAACAACCCACTCACCCACTCACCCACGGCCTGGGCAGCTGGGATAGCCGGGGTTCGTGGTCCGGGCTTTCGATCCCACTGCCTCCGATCGGCACCAAGGCAACTTGGCTTTCAGCTTCGCCGACCAGGCGGACCGCAGAGAGGACCAACCTCCAGAGAGTGCTGAGTGCTGAGTGCTTCACACTGGCCGTGGCCACTTGGGGGGGCGAGCAAGAGGCAAAACACATATCCAAAAGCTTGATTCACTGGACACGTTACAATTGAAACGCATGACGGACAGGGCATGAAGCACCGTGCCAGGGGTGTGGCGTCAGCTCGGAACAGATTACCAGGCCTCTTGCCTGAAAGGTCATTGGTTGGCTTATGTTGGCTTACTCTAGTGCTGGGTCAGGTATGTCACAGCCATGGATGTGCTTGTGGCTTGCCAGACAAGTTCAGAACTCGCCCGGATGGGCCCGCTGGAGGCTGAAGACCCTCACCCGGAAGCGGCGTTTGCTGGACAAAGCTGTCTCCTGGGGCAAGGTGGACAGGCCATGCCACCCCGGAGCTGTGAACAGTGCTTTGTTGTGTGTGCGAGAGCGAGAGGCAAGATTCTTGAACATGTGACATTTGGACCAAACCCTCTTGCCAAACTTGAAACCCGTTTCTGCCAACGATATAATGATTTCGGCCTGAGACGGGAACCCTCCCGCTGCCACAGGACGCATGCGCCGTGGCTGGAGATTCCCCAAGTCTTTGGTCTGGTGTCTTGGCTGCACATCGCAGCCAACTGCGCCCGTTGGAACGCGGGGGGATGGGAGTTCACGTCGGACCCCTTGGCTTCGGGCCTCGTTGGGACCGTCTGCAGGTGATGCGCTCGAAGAACTTGACGAAATGCTTCTGGCGCCCGGGGGCTCGGACCGGAGGGGAGGGGAGTTTCACGGGCCGAAGGTGCCTCACGGGCCGATGGTTGGCCTGGGCGTTTCTTTTTGGTTTCATCCACTTGATGGGCCAAACTGGTGACTGAGGCCCTTACCAAGAAGCTGAATTCTGGAGAAGGGCAGGATTTCACTGCACTGGCCTACGGATGCACCTTCAGCCTGCGCGAGGCGCGGTCTCATTTGTCTGTTGGTGCTCTCACATATCATCCAATTGTGGAAGGGAGGAGAACTGAGTTTCCAGAGGCTTGGATGACCATTTTCCTCTATAAACAAGTTTGCCACGATTATTTAAAGGAGTGTAGGTGTCTTTTTTTGGAGGCCTTGAGCTGTGTGGTGCTAGTTTCCTCGTTGCGCCACGTGTCACAGGTAAACGAGTGAATCCTTCAATTCATCGGTTGGTGACAGACGCTTCGCAAGCAAGCCAGCCATCCGTCGTAGGCACGTTGGCGAGATGGTGAGGAATACAAAGAGAAGAGGTTCATGTGGAAAAGGTCGTAGGCAGGAGATCAGGAGATTTCATAGGTCGGTTCGTGTTCGATAGGCGCCAGAAAAGCGAGATCTCATACAGTAACTTAAGCAGAATCCGCCAAAGACGAAACATAAGCAGCCAATGTAGTTCTAGTCCGCTAATGTGATAGCCCTCGTCGGCGAATGCTTGGAGCAGCCACTGGGTGTGGATGGAAAGCCGTGATCTGTTCTGAGGCAATGCATCGGGGAAATCTAGAACCATCAGCTCTGCAGAAAGCCTTTCCTCCTGGGGAGGAGGGCCAGCGCCGAAGTCATGCGCTCTTGAAGGAAGCTTGGCGGAACATTTGATGACGCAAGACGCAAGCGATGTCACGCTTGGCTGCTCACCAAAATTCCAACAAGGCCAACTGTCAAGTCCAACGCTCCACCAACAGTCTCGCGCCGTAGGCTTGCCACTGTAAGGGAAGCCGCTTTGTTTTGGCCATTCTGGCTAATGTCTCCTCAGATGCATGTCAGAATCCTACTGGTCCATTGTCGCTTCATGATCCTCGAAAAAAACTTCATGTATGCATGTTGCCCCTCATTGTATATACAATTTGTTGATCTCTGTGGATTCTTTGTTTGTCAGAGAGGCGTCTGGCAGAGTCTAGCTAGCAGGTGGTGCACTTGATAACCATCGCGACGTGAAAGGATTTATGAAATCAAAGCAGTAGGGAGTTCATTCCAGAAAGCTTTTGTCGACCACGGGCAGCTAAGGCATGTCTGAGCAATCTGGCTGCAAGTAGCCAAGCCAACTTAGAGCAACTAAGAGTATTGCTGCCACCGACTTGAGTAGTTGATTGCTTGACAGGAGAAATCCCATCCCTCAGCACCCAGTTCACCCAGTAAACCGCTGCAACTACTATGAGTTCCCTTCCCCCCATGCATATGCATGCCCGTTTTTTTGTTATATAAATCCCTTCCTCTAAGGCGAGGCACCCAGAACTCCTTGTTTAGTCTTGCCACCTGTTTGTAGAGGATTTCATGGTCTTCCTTACGGGGCCATGCCATCCACGTAACCATGTTAGTTCCAGGGAGTGCAGTTGTTTCGGTTTTGAAAGTCCTCTTTCGCACCAGGGGAAGAAGGGAGTAGCGTTGGGCCGGGCGAAAAGCACGATGAATGTGAAATGATCAGGTTTTGTTTCTTTTTTCCTGGTGTAGATTCATCCTGGTGGTTTCTCATGGTTTCTCCCAAGAAGCACGCCCTCCAGGAGGTGCAAGTCCAACATCTCATGGACACGGCTGAATGTAGAAGGAATCTGAATTCATAAGCCATCGATTCAACAGATCACTGTCCGTCTTCGTAGGTTCTTGCTCGACCGATCAGCGGTGCCGACCACCGACCGCCGACCACCGCCCGAGGCCGGGATCTGCCACCTGCACCGCTGCCCCGCTGGGTCGTCCCCGGGTGTGTGGAGGCGAAACACGGCGGTGGAGCGGCGGTGGCGTCATGGGAGGTCGGAGCAAAGAGGTTGGAAAAAGGATTGGTTGAGCCAAGATCATTGGGGTTTTCCATGAGCCCAGCTTTTTGGAAAGAAGGAGCCCAGTTGTTTTTTTTTGGGTTCGTCTTTGCCCAACATGGGCCGTGTCAGACTGGCGCTCGCGTCGCGCAGACCTGCCCAACAACATCCTTCTTTCCCCCTCCTGGTGACTGTGGACACATCGAACTTGTGGAACGTTTGGTAGCCGCAAAAGCTGTGGCAGGCGAAGAGGCCCGAAGAAGCTTTGCAACCGGTGCCTTGAGCGAGGTTAGCTGAGAGTCAGCAGGTCAGAATGACCCACCCAAACTTGAATCAAACAAAGAAGACGGCTTGGCGAGTGGTCGAGAAGGACTTTTTTCCCATGTGACTTGGGGTAAGCACCAAGATCTAGATTTCTGCAGCTACCGATTTTGCCACGAGCCCTAGAGGATCTGATCGAACGTGTCCCGGGAGCGCCCCAAACTTGAAGCTCGACCCGAGAGCCAAAGCCTTCATGCGCACCGTGGTGTTTTTGGACATGTTGGACCGGCGTCCTCCCGTGGACCGGCTTCACTAAGGTCTTGCGCATCTTGGCTGAATGGCTGACTCCATGCAATGTCCCAGGCCGAAAGTAAGTCCTCATGCCGTGGTGCTTCACGCCAATGGTGTTGTGCTTCCCCAGACCCTTGGCCACCGAAATCCGGGTTCATCGCACTGGAAATCTGGAAATCGTACTACTTAAGATGCTTCCCCAGACTAGACCACTTCTGGGTTCCGGGGGCTTTTGGATTCCTCCATCCCCCCAAACTCACCACCCGCAATGGCCCTCCAAGCCCCACGGCGTAGCAGCGGAGATGCGCCGAGGGCATGGGCTGCTGAAGCGTCGTCGGGTGGAGGTGGTGATCATCGACTGAGCGGCCTGACAAGGGCCACGATGCCGTCCGGGACCGCGGAGAGAAAAACCCGCGGCAAAAGGCCTGCAAAAGGCCAGAGGAGTGGAGGCGACTTGTTTGGGGGAAGATGAAGGCCTTAGACATGCAATATGAAGGGGAGATATGAAGGCTAACTTGAGAGTTGTGACTAGATCTTGAGATATCTCCTATATCCTCTGGGGATAGGAAGGGCTCTTGTGATATTCAGGGGTTTATATGTGAATATGTTGTTGAGATAGGTGTTGGCACATGTAACATGTCCACTTGTTGAGTTGGTTGATGAATGTGAGGGGATCTTCGGTGCAGTGGGCGCGAGACCGCTGTGAGACGACGGTCGACCGGCGGTGAGACGATGTTGTGCTCAAGCTCAAACAAAGCCATGTTAGTCAAATTAGTTAGATCAACTTGGGAATCTGTGGTGTTGGTTTGATAAGCAATGCCGTCACATATTGTCAAATGGTTTGCATATCCTGAGGTTGTTTCTGCTGTTTCGTCCCTCCTGGAAAAGCTTGGAGCCATCGGGCAGGTTTGTTGATACCTCTTTGTTTGCCATGGCAGATTTTTCCGTTCTGATCGAAAATATCACTTGACATATGTAATCCTCTTCTTTGTGACTTGGTGTGAACTCCACAGAGGTGGTTATATACTTAAGGGAAATATAAAGTTCCTGGCTTAGCCACGCGACATATCCAATCTTAGCGCCCTAATCTGCATCACCACGGCACCATTGGCATTCCTGATTAGTCAACGAACCGAATGGTTCGTACCCCAACCCCCCTGCTCGAACTTGGAAAGCTGACTGCTTGTAATGGCAGTTTCCACGCACAGTTTCCACGCACGGTTGCGGCACCCACCCTCAAAGGCCAACCGGTGAAAACGGCATGAGCAAACCGGTCAACGATACTGCATTGGCGTGCTGAGACGTCATCTAGTTGCTGAGACGTGCTGAGATCAACGACGCAGGCAAAAAACTTGAACTTGACTTAGGGTTCTGAAGGCTCAAAGGGGTTCACGCAAAACACATCCGAAATTCTGGGATGCGCATACCTCACTTAACCTGGCGTGCTTTCACCCTTCGAACCCGTGCGTTTCTGTTCATCTCGGAGATGCTCCGGCAGTCGAAAGGGACGAGAGTTTGACCTGGTCGGTCCCGCATGGCAAAAGCGCTTTCGGACCTCACGGTTCAAGCTCCAAAGATGCCGATAGTGAGCATGTTCATGTTGGCCCTTCTCATGGGTTCTCATTGGTGAACGTGTCAGGGACACACGCATACACATATCAGAAAGGAAGAAACATGTGAAGGAACACTATGGCATCGTAGTGGAGGATCCGCATATTGTCAGGGTTTTTCACATATTGTCACCACCTTGAAACATTGTTGTCAGATTCTGTCACGAGACCTTTCTTACATCCACCGATGATAGTATCTAGGGATGTGCCCCCCGGCAGTGTTCAACACAACCACAGCGTGTTTCCATTTGCACATGACCACTCAGATACATACGCATACAGACCTCTCAGAGCAAACTAGGCTTAAGGCTTTCGCTTTTGCGTCGGTCTCGTTCTCGCGTCGGTCTCGCCCTCTATAGAGACAACAAAAGAGCGGCTCCGTGCCCTTCGCAGTCTCTGCCCTCCCAAAATGCACCAACGATCGGATTGGGCTTCAAGGCCTTTTCAGGCGGGCTTAGTGCAAGATACGTGGCATACCCTCTGTAGACAGCATTTGCGCTTGGTCCCGGCCTGGACCTGCTGCGCCATGGACGATTGGGACTGGCGGGGGAGAACGGGGCTGGGTGGGCTGAATCAAGTCAAAGGCATTGTGGAGCCTTCGGGATAAGTGAGCTATCTCAACTGAATTGTCTCAAGTATCTTCAGTATATATATATAGATACTTCAAGTATATATAGATAAGTATCCCATGTCTCAAGTGAGCTATTCTCAAGTTACTTCAAGATCTCCTATCTCCTCAGTTCTTGCTCTTGAGAATGGCTCACGAGGCCTCCAAGCGTCAGGTGACGGGTGAAGCCGCCTTCGTACGCCGCGGGAACCGATTGATCGAAACCCACAGGATTTGTGCCAAGTTCCGTCACGGATCGAAGCTCTGTGCTTTTCCATGTTCCTTTTTTGCCTGGTGCTTGGTGTGAAAGGATCTCACATGAAGTCATCTCAATATCAATACTTTGATCTTCAGACCGAGCACCGCCTTACCGCACCGCCTTCCCGCCGCCTTCCCGCCTTCCCGGCCTCCCCGACGCGGACGCCGCCGATCCGCGCAGGACCCCTTTGCCGATCCAGGTGACGCGGAGCCAGCACCTGCCGCGAAGGCTCCGGCCCCAAAGCCGATCAGCGCAGTGGTTCGTCAGGAGCTCAGCGTGCGAGCGCAGCGAAGCGTTCGTGCGGCGTTCGACTGCAGGGAAGTTGGAAGGGTCGTCCCACTTGTTGGGGGGCTTTTCGAGTTCCAATCTTTTAGAGCAATGCCATGCCCTTTTTTAAGGGCAAGGTTTCAAAATTGATTGAGACATTTCTTTGAGGAACAGGTGGACCCGCGATGGGCTGAAATAGTGCACAAGAAGACTTTTTGGCCTAAGAGGGGTATGGCGCATGCTGTTCGAGGGGTCTCAGATGGTAGGGGACTGGAATTCCGCTGGAAGCAACACAATTCACACACCGGCGGCGTTCGCCTGATGACGGAACTTGAGGCAAAGCCGATGACATCTTTGCTGCACTGAGGGCTGAAGCAGAAGAGGAGGAGAAGGAGGGGTGCCGCGGGGGCACTAGTGCACAGGTGCTGAGTGTAGTGACAGAGGGTCCAAGCTGTTGGGTGGGAGAGAGCCTATAGCAGGGCTTGAGGTGTTTGGATTATATTCCAGAATGGTGGATTTCAGAGGGAAGCAAAGGTGATGGAATTTCTAAACCTTTCCCGTGGTGGAGGCGGACAATGCCGACTTTAACTAGATGTAAGTAGGCATGTGCATTTGGCGGAGAAACTTCAATTCTAGATCTTCTAGGTTCCAAGGGTTATACTTTTTCAAAAACGAGGCCCTGCACAGGGCGTAGACGGTGATTTGAACAGAAGAGCACTCTCAACTGTGGCAGACGATCGGCTGGTGGTGTTGATAGCGCAGCGTCACAGCGTCACTGAGCAACACGAGATTTTTTCAAACCGACACTCTAACCTTCCACCACAGCACAAGGCGAACTTATCTTGCCCCAGTTATCATCAAGACTAGGTCTTTGAGCCTAGTAGCATGTTCTCCGGCTACTGCCAGCCGCAGAAAATCCACCCCGTTGAACTGACTGACTTACAGCTCACCCTCCCCGTCAGGCTCCCGCTGGAAGCGGAGCGGTGGATGTTCAGCAGAGACTGGACACGCTTTTTGGCCGCCCGGCGCTTCGGTGGGTTTTCGCCACGCGGCAGGCTTTTGGGACGCGGGACGTGGATGGCGGAAGGTGCCAGAACTTCTGATCTCATGAACGGCCCCAGCTTGGGAGTCAGAATCCACCATTTGGAGATTTTTGAACTGTGCAAGTCCCGTGGATGACTTTTCTTCCACAACCTGAACATAGCCGTGTCACACTGTTGGCCGGGTGTGGGGCAAGCAGCACGTTCAGCTGGGATAGCAGTGCTTTCCTGAAGGCGAAATGAGGTGTTCTGTTGGCTGATGTTGCAGAATCAGATGTGGGTATAGGTTTTTCTCCCTCCCCCACACGTTCCGACGCCTGCATTCCCAGTTCCAAAGAAACAACCCTCCCCAAAGCTCCAGCCGCAGCCGAAGAAGGGGGCGAGCCGCAGTCAGGTCGGACGGAGGGAGGGGGGGTCGGACGACCTCCAGTGGTGTGGGGCCGTGGTCGCGCCTTGAGGGATGGATGACGAGGAGGTGGAGCTGCTGCGGCAGGAGTTCGCAGGTCGGGCCGCTGGGCGCTGGGGGGGAGACGAGGACGGAGGAGGTGGACCCTGGAGGCGAGCCGGTGTGGACACGGAGTGTGGCGGTACAAGTGTGGCGCCGCAAAAAAGGCGCGGAAGACGTCCAGACGAGTCAGGACTCAGGGTTTTTCAACTTGGATCAACTTGTTAGCTTGTGATACTGGCCCTGTGGAAAGAGCAACGCTTTGAGGAGCTGGTAGTGAAGTCGAGTTTATTGTAATTGAACGTGCTTATCGTTTTGGGTGCGGGGGGGGAACGGTCTTTTCACGTCCTTTGCTCTTGGCGAACGGGCCTTTGTTTCACCAGGTGTCACTGCTGACTGTGGCGGCCAACACTTCTTCCCCATGTGGCGCCGGGCCTTGCCCCTCCTTGAGAAGACCGAGGACCGGGGCTTGGCCTGGGCTCTTTGGGGTGAAGGCACCGGGAAACATCCACGGGGGCTCCAGGCGGAAAAGTCATGGAAAAAAAACAACCGGTCCGGATCAGTCTTGGGCTTGGCCTGGAGCATGGAGCAGGTGCCACCGACGGTGTCGACACCTGCGGAAGCCCGAGCTCCGTGCTCCGTGCTTCACCGACCGTCCAGACTCAGACCACAGCTGCAGGCCCCATGCAGCAATTTGCTAGGGCCACGGCCTGAGGAACGAAAGTGGTGGGAGAAAGAAAGAGCTGCCAAACACCAAGAAATGCATGAAACATGCCTCACATCTCGTGAATATCGTGATCTAGTGGTCCCGGGTTTCCCTCCGTTTTTCTTTTTGGGCAGGGCCACCGAGTCCTGGGTCGATGTTTTTTCTCACAACTTCGGTCAATCAACGTTTCTTTCACTGGGATCCATGAACTTCGAACATCACCCCAGCCTGCTCGTGTTTTTTCTTTGGTCTTCTTTGATTATCTTTGATTTCTTTTATTTTCTTTTCTTTTAAGGGGGCTCCCAACATTTGAGCCAGCCGTTCGTTTTTTCTCCCACGTGTCCACGTTGTGCTTTTGGCAGCACCATCCATGAGCTTGTCGTACCGTTTCCACTCCGGGTCTCAGCAGAGGGTCGCTGTTCTCTCAGCAGAGGGGAGCGCAAGGCTCCCAGCCGCTGTTCTCAGGCTGATGATCGACGACTGCGTGGGCCTTTTGGCCGATCCCAGCAGCTGGGCCGAAGACGTCGGGGCCACGCGTAGCTGCGTTGCCCGGCGGGGCGGGTGCCAGGCAGCAACGGGAAGCAAGCGGTGCATGTGGCGCTGCCGGAGGGCAAAGCAAGCAATGAGGCAATGGTGAGTTGGGCGGGAAGGGAGGTGGTTTCTATACATCAGCAAGAAATGCCGTGTGAGAGAGAGAGAGGGAGGACTTGTTGAAAGAGCCGTTTATGGTAGGGTGAGGAAACAGCTTCCTTACTTCCAACGGTCTCATTTTTTCTTGATCAGATTGTGAGGTCGTGAAGAACAACTTTGCTTCGATTCTATGCCAATCCCATGCGTGTTTATTGCAGTCCCACCATTTTGAGATCAGCTCCTGATTGTTTCATTGGCTCAAGGATGTGGCCATGAACCATGCCTGTGTGGCACCACTGACACAGAGCAAGAATTGAGTCTTCAACGGCATTGCATTTCCTCAAGCCTCCATCACTTGCAGCCTAGCCTCGACACTTGGGACCCCCCTTGCTTAGCAGATTTGGGCATGTAGAGTCTGAGGAATTGCTGTGAAACAGCAACTCTAAGTCTTTTGACTTGGCCACACACAGACCATAGAGACTGCGTGGCGCCATGGCCCTAAAAGACTGGTTCATTCGACTGAGCCTCTTGGGCCATTGGATCACCTCTCTGGGCATTCCACCGCCTCCGGATCAGGTGCAGCGCACGGTCCTCTTTGGAAACATCAATGCCTTCGCCTACTACTTTGCAGAGCTCTTGGTGGGGTCTCCGCAGCAGCCGGTGTCCGTCATCGTGGACACCGGCAGTGCCTTGTGTGGATTCCCCTGCGAAGACTGCGGGCATTGCGGACAGCATCTCAACCCGCCCTTCGACATGAAGAAGTCCACCACGAGCAAGGTGCTCCCTTGCGGCATCGGATGCGATCGTTGCATCGATGGCAAGTGCGGCTACTTGGAATCCTACACCGAGGCAGGGGGGTAGGAGACCGGGGAGGAGCTCCTTGTCGGTTACAAGCCAGAGATGTCTAACTTGGGCCAGAGATAGTTTATCATCATCTGCAGAAGGGAACCAACCAGACAGCAGCTGGACACATTGGATCACCTTGAGGGTGATGCATGTCGCCTCCCCGTTCGAGATTATAGAAGGGATAACCCCCGTGACTGAAGCCTTATGAAATGACGATCTTTTTCTCTTATGAAATGCAAATTCCAAGGGATATTTTATACACATAAGCGCCTGTATTTTGGCAACATCGAAAAATCGAAGGGATATATCATATCCATCGAAGTTGCAGTCCCCCCCCGTTGCGACTCAGATTTCAAACCATCTCCCACCTCTTTTTCCAAGGCTTCCTCACTCATCCCCCCAAATCCAAGCACCACACTAGAACAACACTTGATCCGATTGACCTTCTCCCTGCTCCCCCCCCAGCAGCGACCTAACACAAACCCTCCAGCTGGGGGCTTATCAGAAAGATCTCCCTGTTCCCCTGGGCAGGGCAGCAGCATCTCGGGCCTTTGGTTTCGGGACCTGGTGATGCTCAACGGCTCGGACCAGGACGGGACGGAGGAAGGGACGGAGTCGGGACGGAGTCGGAAGGAAGCTGGTGTAGAGACAGGAGCGGCACCAGGAAGGGCACAAGCCGGTGTTTTGCTTTTTGGGGGGAGATAGAGAAGACATGAGAAGACCAGGTACGTTCCAAGTGTGTTCTACACATCAGTTGGAGTTTTGTTTAACTCTTTGTTTCATGATGTTTCATGCATTAGCTATAGGGTGTATCAGCTGCTGTGTGAGGACAATCAGCCAGTGTTCGCATCCTTGGGGTGCCACACGGATGAGCGGAAGCTCTTCTACACGCAGAAGGTCAATGGGATCTTGGGTTTGGCTCCTCATCGGATCACCGGGAAGTCCAATGTCTTGAAAGACCTCTACCAGGACCACGGAGACACCAAAACCGCAAGACCCACACTTCTCCAGGGACCAGGGGCGCTCCCTTTCGGTACATGAGGCTTTGTGAGGTTCCTGGACAGGACGTTCAAAACTTCATCACGCCACTCTACAGGACTTGTTTCTTTCCACTTGCTTCCAGCCCAGCTCCTTGCCAGACCTCTTCAGGACAAGGCGCACGTGAATCACGAGATCTTTGCCTTTTGCTTAGCGGAGTGGGGTGGTCTGTTGACCGTGGGCGGCTACGATCCCAGCTTCGTGGTGCCTGGCCATCGGCTTCAGTGGCTGCCCATGCATGCCGCCGGTTACTTTGGAGTGACGCTGCAGAAGCTCAGCTGTGGCCTCCAGGTCGGGCTCCCAACGTCTTCGTTTTCGGGACCCGACGCTGATGAAACGCGGATGGGATGTTGACGACTTGGTAGATGATGTAGATGTAGATGTAGATGTAGATGAAGGACGGCTCACAGGGTCGCCGGTCTGGTGGGGGGGCGATCTCTACGAACGAAGGAGTTCGTGTTCATGCCTTGAGGACAAAGGCTAAAGAAGTGTTGAGAAGTCAAAGGCCCCCACCCCATTCGGGACGCCTTGAGGCTTGCTTACATTTTCACTCTCATCTCACTTCTCCACTGACAGATGTGCAGTTCACAATTGCTCTTGGAACATAACTGAGACGACGGAGGGTGTTTATGTAGAAGCCAAGCAGAACGAGTTCCCTTTTGGACTGAATTCCAGGATCGATGCGCGGTGGCTACCCGATCCCTCACTCGATCGGGAGCCAATCGAACGTAGAGATGCCATTCTTCATACGTCGGAACTGCCGCGTTTCAGATGCGCTGTGTTTGGCTGGTGCACATGTAAACACAAGCGGTGCCGATTGAGAACCGCGTGGCGAAAGACAATGGGTGATGGGTTCGGTGCAAACCGCCGCTCGGGAGCTGTCACATCCCAGTTGTCTCGGGACCTCGTTGTCTTGTCCTCGACCGGTGAACCGACTACCTCGACGTCGGCACCGGGTGCCCGCACCCTCTGGTGCAGGTGGTGGGGACCCAGCTGGACTTCGGTACGACCGTACTGGACTCGGGCACCACCTTCACGTATCTACCGGAACAGGCGAGTGTGGCGTGCTGGGGGGGCGGAAGGAAGGCTCCAAACAGCTCTAGACTTCGGTTGAAGATTGGGAGGCACCAAGTGACATGCGAATGACTGTTACTATATCATTAGACTAATTGGACGGTTGATGCATTCTTGAAGCCACCCCCATTGGGTTGCAGATTCGGCACTTACCTCCCAGGGGTTGGGAGCTCCAAAACTCATTTCGACTACAAAGAGAAACAGGTGCAGAATGGCATTTTCGTCGCAAGTAGCAGCTCTTGAGTTGGCCATTTTACGTTGACCTCCTCAGTGGTCTATGGATTTTGTGCTGGTCAACCACCAGGTCCTCCGGTTTCGGCCCGCCATCTGATCCACCTGTGACGTCGGCTCCTGCTTCTCACGAGTTGTTTCTCATGGTCGACTTGATGAACCTCAAAATAGTTTGCCTCATCCTTTGGTTGCCCCAGATGTTGACGCGGAGGTTGTTTTGGGGGTCTAAAACCTCAAAAAAGACCGGTGACCACTCTGTCCCTCTGTCTTGGTGCCTGAACCTTGTGACCTTTGTCTGTTTCTGAAGCACCACGATGTGTTGCACTGGAAGATGGAATAAAGATCTCCGACTTCAAAATAGAAACACAGCCAAGCCTGCTGAGCGCCTGCTAAGCAGCTAAGCGCCTCTAATGGCACTTTGGCAGTGCTGCCGCGTCCGACGGGTATTGTGGCCACCAGGTCTACAATGCGTTGCTGACTGCATTGAAGACCCAGTGTGCGAACATCCAGTGCAATGCCCGGGCTGTCCAGGACAATTGCTGGGAGATTGTCTCAGGAGCGAGAAGACAATCTCAGAAGCGAGAGCTTTGTTGGTTTTCTTGGCATCTTACCCAGACACTCCATGTATATATAGTATATAGCTTTTTTTTTTCATATATTGACCCCTGAAACCACCCCAAGGTAGGTAAGTATGCCAGTCCCATGGAGTGTCTGTTTTTTTTTAGCATGGCTGATCGTTTTCACTCGCGAGAGGAACTCGCAAAGGTGAGGACACAGACAACACCGCGCAGACGAGACGGCGGAATCCAAACAGAATTGCCACCTGCACTTGCTTCCTAGTAGATATATAGATCACGCTCACTCTTCAAAACAAGACAATAGGAAGATACGAGCACTATAAAGCCGTTTTCACTATTTTGCGTTTTGGGTGGGTTTTCATGTATTTTCGTGTTTGCAATCTTTTTCGAGAAAACCAAGACTTCCATTCTGACAATTTCCGCAGCTGTCGCGTTTTTGCAGAAATGCGCCCCAATGCAATAGCATGCAATAGCTATAACCATTTTCCCGTTTTCACGTGCGACTCCGCAGAATCAAGACGTACATTCCGCAGCGCGAAGGAGCAGTGCCCCAGGACCTTCCATCGATAGCCCCTTAGAGGTTATATAAGGGGTGTCCATTATACAACCACCCCGACAGGGGGTCCAGGTATGTTGTCAGACTAGTTTCGTGCGACGTGTCCAGTCTCGTGGGGCTGTATTGGTTGTTTGGTAGGCACCCGTGACTCTCGCTGAGGTTGGAGAGACCGTGGGGCATGTGAAGCCTTTTTTTAAGAACAGACCTTCAACATCCTTTAACAGACTCTAACTCTAACATTTTCCACTGGCTGTAGAATGGCAATGAGAGGACCTATTGATACATATTGTAACTACTTCAAAACTTTTCCCATTGCTGGAGATGATGGATGCAAAGGCCAAATATCCTAGTGTGTCGAGACTCCAATCATCCTCTCACGTGGATCATTGTGGATCCTGGTGGGGTGGATTTGGTCACCCTCTGACCCGGTCACGAGCCAAGCTGCGCCAGTGCGCGCTAGCTGCGCCAGGAGCCGATCCCACGAGGTTCCCGAATGTGACCCTGGAACTGGCCAATGGCCCCAATGGCGTGGTAGCCATCCAATGGCTCGCCCATGCCTACATGTTCCGGCGCAAGGCCAACATTTGGTGCTATGCCTTTGCCAACAATGGCATGTCCAAGGAGACCGTGGAAAAAAACACCATCCGGATCCATAAGAAGAAACTTAGATGAGTTCTTTTCAGATGAACGGTTGAGTTCGTTCTTCGGTTCCTGTCCTTCGCTTCCCAGGAGACCGTGCTGGGGATCTCCTTCTTTCTGCACCAGACGGTGGTCTTCGACACCTCCCAGTCCAAGCTGGGCATCGCGGAGTCCAAGTGCCCGGAGAGCCACTACCAAACGCGAAGTGGTCGACCGGCGCAGGCGAGGGCGGCAGCTCTCCGAGTCGTTTCGACCCTCGAAACCTCGCTCTCAGAGCTCGTGTGGCTCGTTGGGGTGAAAGACATGGAACGGGGCGGAACGGGGCGGTGAACCATTTGGGAGAGATTTTGGGAGAAATGGTTCTCCTGTCGTGTTTTGTTTTTTTCCTTTGATACCCCCGCTAAAAACGATGCAACAAAGAAGCCACGATCTCCTCGTGCTTCAGCCCCCCGGATGAATCCTTCCCTCCTCACGTCTCTCGCGCGACTCCGCGCGTTCTTCGAGCGAGGCGGTGCGCGAGGGCGCCGTGCAAGATGGGAACTTCAAACCTTCGGACGTGCTGGAGGGCGACGATCTGGTGCCCGCAAAGCCGCCGCAACGCATGCGTTGGGTCGCGTTGGCATTGGGAATTGTAGGCGCCTGGGGCCGGAACGGATGGGGGCAAAGAAGGAACGGAGGTGGTTTTCAATTACAGTAGGTTTTCTATCAGTCTCCGCTGGGCTAGGGCCTAGCGCCTCTCAGTCGCATGTTCACCCTTTGCTAGGTCTTGTCTTGTTAGTGGTGGCCTGTAGCATGTGCCTCTGGGCCTATTTCATGGACGACTCCGACGAGGAGCTCGGCTTGAAATCGCCCTTCACTGACAATGAGCAGTGACGGTTCGTCGCGCGGTGCCCCCGGCAGCGCCGGCAAAAAGGGACGGACGCCAACAGCAAGCTGCATGAGGTCAAGTCTTGCGAAGAACCAATGAGGTTTGTAAAGTCAATTGCTCAAAGACATGGTCATGTGCTAAATTGACCAAAGGCTCTCAACCGATTCAATTCTACAGACGTCGCTGTTTGAAATAATTCTGCATTTGTGTCGGATTGTGCGCTTGTCTACGAGTCTGGCATCACGTCACGCCTTCATTTCTTGAAAGACCCATCCACTCGGTGTCCACATCGAAGGGTCGGTCGACTATTGCAAGGTGGTCTTCGTCCTCGCATGGGGAGGGGGCAGTCTGATGGTGCAGAACTCAGAGAGGAGGGAGTAGCGGATGAAGCACTATGGGACCTGAACATAGAAAGGGTTGTTCAACCTCTCTCAGAAGGGCCATAGCCGTGTTTTCGCACATGCGCCCAGGACATACAAGATTTGGTGGAGGTCTATCGCCACTGGGCAGTGGAGTTTGCATGAGTCTGCGGGAGTTGTTTGGTTGCGGGTTTGGAAACCAAAACGCTGGTGGATGCCGGTGGCAACATGTTGTTGTTTGTTTTGTCGTTTGCCCGTCGCGGTCGTCCCGACGGGGTCCCGACGGTGGCGGGTGCTTTGAACACTCGTTTTTTGCCGCGGCCCAGCGGAATCGCTAGCTGAATTGAGCAAGGGACGAGGGAGTTTCCTTTCTTTCCTTTCTTTGGGGGTGCTCGCTTGAATTTTTTTTCTCTTCTTTAAGTCGGCCTGTCTTGGTTTTTGTTGCGAAGCATCAAGCTGTTGCCTGTGGGCTTTTGTACTGGTTAGGTTCTCTGGAGCTTCCAAAGACACCCCTGCCGATGAGCTACTGTTGCTTGGGTGAACACCCTGCAGTGATCCATCGAATATCGGACCTCTGCAAAACATGGTAAGCCTCCTCAATACCTGAAGCTGAGGCGAGATCATGCCGGGCTGCACCATTTTCATGTCCACCAGCAACCAGAAAAACAGTTGCTGGGCGCACAAGCCGGGTTCACGAGGTTCGCGAGGTTCAGAACGTGCACAGCATGGATCAATGGGCTTGGCGGGCTCTTCAGAGACCTGTCGCGATTCCATTTTAAAGGAGGTGGAGTGTAGAGTGTAGACAATTGATTCGCTCGCCGACTCTCGGATTCACTTGAGGATCCTTTTGAATGAACTCGCTGAATTCTTTTGAATATGCCCTTTCCGAAAGTAAGCCGTTGGATGCGTCTTTTTTCATGTTCCGCCCGGGTTGGCCGGTCCACCGGTTTGCTTCCGCCGGTGTCTGTGGCTCCGGAGCTGCTTTAGTCAGAGACAGTGTCCGGTGCCAGGCTTTGGTCTCCGGCGCCAATGTGCGGATCTGAGCGGTGCGCGGATTGTGCTCCGCAGCGCTGCAAGGAGCGGCAAGTGATGCCATGGCAAGTGATGCATCCTTCCACCGGTGGGTCGATGATTCTTTTGTCAGCCGTCGGCTGCAGACAGCACATGGATCCTCACAGAGGCCTTGAATCTAAAGGCTTGCAAGGGGTGAGGAGTAAGGCAAGCCAAAGGGACTTTCATATGCAGTTTTGAGACACACCTGTTTGATAACACAGAGGCTTGCGGAATTTTGGGCCCTCATCGTGCATTGAATTCTCGATTGACTATGATCGTCCAGCTGTCTTTAAATGAGGCTCCGTACTTCCAGGAATTTGTTTGCACCTCTTGATCCGGAGAAGGCTCCTCTCCCGCCAGCTTTTTCTGGAGAACGCCCAGGTGCTGTTGGAATTCGAGCTGCTACGGACGCCTGGGCGTCAAGTTCCGCCAAGCCAAAGCTGTTAGTGCGCGAGAACGGATGACGCACCAGGGGAGGTGAAGGATGGTGAATGGCAGTATGTGGGACATCTCTCGTGGTGGCACGTCCCAAAAGCATGTCCTGGCACTCTTGGATGCTCTCGGTCTTGAATTTGAGGCATTCCTCCTATCAGCTTCATGACTGAACCAGCATTCCTCCTAGCCGATCGCTTGGCGGGACATGCCGTCAGCATCTGCAGGTACATCTCTTCAGCAATTCCGGCATGCACACCTGGACCGAGCTCTTGTAGCTCGGAGTGCATCACCGGCCGCGCAGCAGGAGCGCCGCGCGGCGTGAGCTGGCCGGCGGGGCGTTGACCATCGCACCCTCTCCGCTCCTCGCACCTCTGCACCGAGGCAGGCATGGGGGTCGTTGAGTTCCAGCGCGAACCTCGAGGACGTCAACGGTACGTGCTGGCATCGACGTCGCGCAGACGTCGCACGCAGACGTGGTGGATCGCCATGGGACGGGATGATACCTGATCCGAGCCTACTTGGAGACCATAGGCCGTGCCAAGGAGACAGATTCTGGAGGCCCTGCGCCTCAAGCATTGTTGTATTTCAAGTGCTTTGCACCAGTGACCCACGTGCAAAATAGAATGAAGGCCTACAATAGCCTGCTCCCTCTCCCGAGCTCCACTGGGGCGGGTGCGGGCGCGCGACGTGGCTGGGCTCGCCAGGAGCAAGGTATTTCCCTTGCGATGCCGCTGCCGCCCATTGCAGAAGTGCTCCGAGGCAAGGCGGTCGATGAGGCTGAGGAGACGAAGCTTCCTCACCTACAATCCCAAAGCCAAGAACACCATTTTTATGTCAGTTCTTCTTAGCGGACACCTGCGGCCCTTCGCCACTTAAGCCGGTGCTTGGACCTCACATTTCTCGCTCTATGACTTGGATCCCTAACTTTATTCAGTCCATAGGCCCTAAGATCACCCTAGGCCCTAAGATCACCCTAGGCCCGATCAATGGGATATCATGGGGGATCTTCTTGGGATTTCACTCCCCACCCTCCGCTCCCTCCACCTCACCGATCCCCTTCGACTACTCCGTTCCGCGATTCCACGTTCTCCCGAAACCAAGCGACCGCCTCCCGACGGTCCGACGCCGAGCGCCGCGGCGGCTTTCTCCCGGAGGGGTGATCCTGGATTCGGCCCCGGATGGCTCCGTCCCGCTGGACGCCTGCATCCAGAGCCTGGTGCAGTCCGTGGCGGCCGTGGTGTCGCTGGCGCGGCCGCGACCGAACGGCGCGGCGCGGCGGACGCGCCTCACGCCCCGCGAGGGTTCGGCTTTGGAGCTGCGTGTGCGCGGGTGGCGTTGCGCGGAGCAGCGTGGGGTTTGGGGGGGGTTGGGGAGGTGTCTGGTGTGAGATTGGGAGGTCCAGAGGCCATGGAGGCCTTGGCTGCGGTCGTGGGAGATTAGGGCAGCCTTCTTTTTTGGGCGGGGCTCATGGCTCATGGCACGTGTCGAGAAATCATTAAGGACATTCCGCAGAGCAGGTGACAATTGTGAAGGGGGAAGGCACACAGGTTGGGGCATATCATGGCATATCTAATCATTGGAGCCTTCACGTGGGTCACGGTTCAACATCCGTCGTGGGTCGGTTGGAGCGCATAAAGAACTTGTTGGGTTGGTGCTGCTTCCGTTTAGGCACGTGATCTCTGAGTCTCTCAAGTGACTTCCTAGTTCAGGTCCTAGTTCCTTTCACCCTCAGGGAACCCTTCCTCAGCTCTGAGAGAGCAGCGGTTCCACCGAGCCACGGCCGATTTTCGGCACAGCCGGCGAGGCGGTCTCCTCGAACCATGATGGCTCGGAGGAAGCAAGGAAGGAAGCTGAGATCAGCAGCAAGCGTGCAGTGTCGGCCATCATTGCTGCGCCTGGGCTGAGGAAGGAAGAACTCGGAGAGGTTTGGAAGGAATGGAGGCGTTTCATGAAGTTCTGCCATGGATTCGATAGATCTTGGAGCCATCCACTGAGGGGAGCTCTGTGGTGAAGGCGCATCTCTATCGGAAGCCGGCGAAGATGTTGACCAAGAAGGTGGGAGGAAGCAGATTATCGAAGACAACTTGTTTTCATGATTGGGCGGAGAATTACTTGTGTTTGTTTGGCGACTCAGTCAGCTGATGTCAGCTGTTTCTCATCATAATCTTAGCGACTGTCTCATGGTGAGCTTTTCTTTCACACGAGTAGAGTTGGTTCTTTGAGTCAGCTTTAGAGTTGGTTTTTCTTTCACTCTACAGTCAGCTTTCTTGGTTCTTGACCACGGCTCCACCGCGGCGACCGAGCCAGAGGCGAGCGCGGACACGGTGGTGGTGCACTCACTGGAGCCTCCAGTGCCCATGCAGTTCATCTACTCCAAGGACTGTCCAAACTCCGAAGGCTTCGAAGAACGTGAGCAACTCCAAAGGCTTGTGACCCTCGTTTTTGGGTCGTTTTTGGAGACCTTCGAGGGATTGAGATCCTTGGGATCGTTTCAGGATCTTCCTTTCGGGTTTCGGAAACACGTGAATCACCGAACCTTCGCTCGAAAAGCATCGATGATCGAGATCATCTTCAGCATCTCTGTGGCCCGTCTGTAGCCGTCTGTGTGGGGCCAGCCGGTCGTTTGCGCCACCTCCGTGGGCTGGGCGGATTTGGGAGGTGCGCGCTGGGTGTCTCAACGGCACCATGCCCGGGATGGACAAAGGGACTGATTCAGAGGAAGAGGTCTTTCAGAGAAGGGTCTCCGGATGTTCGGTGAAACGACGCTCCGGTCATGGTGTGTCGTCAATTGTATAGGGCTTCCATTTTGGGTGGCGCAGCGCCGGCAGTGTTCTTGTTTTGGGAGGTCTACAGATTGCGGCAGGGCCGTGCCATTTGGGATTTGGGTTTGCAGGTGCTAGCAACTGTTAGATGGTCTCAGAGATGATAATTGTGAGTTGAAGCCAGCATGACTGTGCCAGGATGACAATATCATTCTGGCGCCTGGCGTCGAACGGTATTTGCAGGAGACCGGCCCAAGGGGCTTAAGGGGCGTCGAACGACAGAAGCGGTGCGGAGCTTCAAGACGAGGTCCGACCACGACACATATCATAGCAGTTTTCTGGCTCAAGCAAGAGCTGAGCTACACGGTTTAAAAAAACCCCAGGCTAGTCGCCCAGACTGCTGGGAGATGTGCAGGTGGGCCAGTGTGGTGTTGTTGGGTGCCTTCAGTCTGGTCTCTTTGCAGGGCTGTGGAGAGAAGTCCGAGCCTTCCACCACCACTCTGACGACCACGACCACTCCGTCCGGGAGAACTTCCTGCTGGGTGAAGACCGGCAGCGTGAAGGAGGCGCGTACGAAGCCCTGTGACAAGTCCAAAGGCAGCACCTGGGTGGTGGTTTTTGTATATTTTTGTTGTTTGTGTATGTTTGTGTTGTTTTTCCTATGAACACTCCAACGTTTCTATCTCTAATTGAACATGGTCCATCACTCCCTGGAACTCACGTGGAGCACCACGTGGAGAGAAAAAACACGGAACGTTGGTAGCGGAACATGGCTTTCCAACAGGTCATGCACATCACGCTGCATCCGTTTCCATGAGAATTCCAGGAAGATGGGGTCTCCCATTGTAGACCATTTACCATCTTCAGATGGAATTCCAGGGAGTGTAACAGGCATGATGGTCCAAATTCCAAATGGTCACCTCCCACTTGGCCCAGAGAACTGGAGTTTTTCGGGTTGCGACCCGGTCAGACCAGCCAGGCCAGCTCTTGAGCACCCCCGATGTGCGGGTCACGACCGTGCAGAAGCACAAGAGCTATGTGCACATGGAGCTTCGAATGGACAACCAGACCTTCCAAGCGTCGGATCGATCCGCCTTCAGTTTGACACCCCATGGCCTCACCCAGGTGACTTTGCAGGTGCCAAGTGCCGCAAACAGGATTTGTGTGATCCTTGCCAGCCAGGAGGGCATGGAGGGCATTATCGTGGCAGAGGACATGTCATTATGCCCCCAATGCGCAGATCCCAAGACAACTCTGAAAGCATGGATCTTACAACTTGAGCAGGATGGCCCAACTACGCCATGCCCCTACACGAATGATGAAGAGGGGCCGACCATGCTGAAAGCTGAGGGTCTGAGAGACAACCTCACACTCCACGTGGACGCGGAATCGTCGCAAGATCTGCTGTTAGCCTGAAAACCCGGCCGATCGAAGATCGGCTCTGATGGTTTTTCAGCTCTGGCCATGGCGTCTCGAAGGAGCCCATTGGCCCCTTTTGCGAAGATCATCGGCGAAAACAACACTTTCCGGGCTTAACAAACATTTCTTCGTGGACGATTGAGTGACCTGACATCCTTTTGAAGTTGTTCAATCCTTTTTCAGGACATGACATGACGTTCCACGCGACCCGACGTTCCACGGGACCCGGGCGTTGCGTTGCGTGACCCGTCGCAGGGCGGGCGTCGATTCCGCACCGGCGCAGCCTGAGGAGGTGAACGAGCGGCCGAGCCGGCAGGGCTTGGCCAAGCCACGTGTATGGTGCATCGAGAAGTCCAGGCGCCGGTGGAGCTGGGTCGGGGAGGGGGTGGGATGGGGTGGGATGGGGTGGGGTCGGGTAGTTGGGTGGATATTGAGATGTTTGAAGCACCAAGGCTGGGTTTCTTGGATGATGGAGCTGCCAATGGACGGGTTCTGGAGATGGAGCTCGATCGGCTTTGGAGAAGCCTGCAGATAGTGAACAGCTCCAGTTTAAGAAAAGGAGATGGTGCAACTCTTGAACCTTCCCCCTTGTCCCTCCACAGTTTGGTTCATTTGGACCACTCCCCGTCCAGTTTTGTTCATTTTGTTCATTTGGGCCCCACGCCTTCAAACTGCGCCCCCGCACGATTGTGTTGATGTGGGAGTCTCCATCTCTCGTTCACCTGATCCATTGCCAATCGCCTTGACGTCCCACGTGCTCTCAAGGCATTGCATGCACAAGCTCTCTCGCCCCGAAGAATACAGGCACGGGATGGGAAGCCGGGGGGACCTCCAGTGCGGGTGGTGCAAATATGAAGTGGATGCAAGGCACTGGACCTTCCGTCTTCAAGTGGGATATGATTTTTTGGGGGGTCCATCAAGAATGTAGCACTGTAGCATGAAAGACTATACTCAACTCTCTTGACGACCCTGCCCTTGATGCCAGGAAGTGCCTCACGGTCTTTGCCCAGAGCACCATGGGTTGAGAACCCAACGGCCCAAGGCCGAAAGCTGAGAGGCTCCAAAATGAAATCCGAAAAAACCTGATGGATTCGTCTCTCCTTGGAAGGTCGCGAATGCCACCCTCATGACAAGGCACGACATCAGCTAAGCAGCTTTTTGCGCATTTGGATGGTGGCTTTGGGGCTTTCTCTTTATTTATGGTTTTCTGCGCGATCGAGAATAGACCAGAGGTGTTCCTCCCTTTCCTGGACGATTTGTTGACATCAGGTGTGGAGAGGGAGTCGTTTTCCCGCACTCCTCCCGCGGGCTCCGACTCCTGAATTCTCACGGCCACAGTCAGACACATAGGCCGCGTGAAAAGCCGACCCGCCGCCGAAGGGGGGCGCGCTCCGCTGCCCGGGTTTTGTCCCACGATTTTGCCAGGCATTCGGGTAATCCAGTGATTATATATGGTTCGAGCAAGGGGTAGAAACTCAGGTCACGTCTTTCTGCAGGCCTGATCCATAAGTTGTTTCATGCACTTGTGGCCCTGCTGATGCCCTACCCATACCCAGTCATTTAGCACCTCAATGTTTTATTTCCAGATGTTCCTTGAGCCTCACCATGGCTGGGCACAAGCACCCGCATGCTTGCTTTGTTGCGGCTTGTGGGTCGAGAGGGCGCCAGCTCTGCATGAGGACCTGCATGAGGGCGCCAGCTCTTCTGTGCTCAAACGCTACCAGAGACCAACCCAGAACCAGCGCATGAAAGCATTATATAGACATGTCATTCCTGCCAAAATAGCCCCCCAAATGTTGGAGATGGCCACACGGACAGATTAGCTCGGCGCTGCAGTGCTACTTATATACAGCACAAGCTGAAAGAAACATCGGTGCTGCCACGCTGCAGGGGTCTTGCAAGTTTGTGATTTTTTCTTGACATGGATGGATGTTTTTCCCAGAGTCTGAAGAACCCCCATGGTCGAACACCAACAAAGCAACACAAACAAAAACACAGCCAAGAGTGTCGAGGCTCGTAGGTTCTTGAGAAGCACCGCAAAAAAGGCTCGTAGGCTGTGTGCCTTCATGAGTGGAGAGAAACCCGACGAAGTGCTGATCTTGTGTGGAGCCTGGTGTTGGATTCGAGTTTCGGGCGATCGTGAGCAGTTCATGGACGTCCCGTGAAGACCAAACACATGGGCTCGGCTCGTTGTGTTTTTTTTTGATCGAGCGGAGCCCTCAAGAACAAGCACATCCCTTAGGATTTCTATAGAGGGCCTGGTGGATTTGCCAAACCTCTCGGGGTGGGTCAGGACATCCTCAACGGATGGGCCCTTGCACTTGAGAATCTGTTTTGATTGTGCCTTTTCGCTTCTTTGTCTTCCCCCTCCAGAGAGAGGGTGGGAAGGTCAGCTAGTTTCTACCAGACTCTTGCTGACACTGCGGCGCAGAACATGGAGCCCACAACGCCATGTAGCGAACGACCAGTCTCGTCGGTAGGTCAACTTTGGCTTCCGAGTTCGGACCCACAGCCTTTCTCTAAGCCGGTTCGTTCTGTTTCACCACGTCAGCATGGGGATGAGGCGATGGTGGCGTCGACGATTTGCTATGTTCTCCTGGCATGGCCGCACTGGCGAGAGTTGAGCTGCAAATGATGCTAGGGAAGGGGCTCCGTGGTTTTGGGAGATGGAAGGGCCATTCACTGAACGTTTGACAGTGATGGTGGCACCAGGTCTCCAAAAAGTAGGACGGAGCAAATGAAGATGATGGTTGCCATAAAGCATGTTTACATAGGGCCGAGAACAGTTCAAGCAACACCCATGGCTGGCAAAAAGCACGTCGGAATTTCTGAAGAACTTGGGTGTTGAATGGTGTTGAGGTGTTTCGGCTTGACTACTAGAGTTTCTTGAATCAAATGGCCACCGCGGTGCCAGGATGGTCCTCAGCACCTTCATGCAATTTTACGTCTCGCACGGCACTTGGAGAAGGGGCTGGGATGGCAGGACGGCTGGAGAGAGCAGGTGGGATCAAGGGAAGATGAGTTATATACATGGCCTCATGAGATCTCATGAGATGTTTGGTTCGTGTCAGTATTTGCGTGGCTTGTGGGTTGACGAACGTCCAATTGCCAAGCCGCTTTCGAAAGAGGCAGAACCGAGGGCACGGCACTGCAGCGCAGACTGCGCAAAGGACTCCGCACTTCGTGCCAAAAATGCCCTGGAGGTGTTCAGAAATTTGCACACACCTCCCCAGCTTGGTTTGGAGTGTCAGCTGAGGTGTGCGAATCTATCACCACCTGGCAGGGGTTTAGACAAAGGCATTTTGCATGAGCATGTTGCAGCATGCTTGTGCAAAATGAAAACAGATGGAAAGAAACTTCTTTGAAGGTTGCCCCAACGTTGAAGGTGCCTTGTTGAAACAGCGCGCGCGAGAGAGAGAGAGAGAGAGAGAGAGAGAAAAAAAAAACAGAGACAGACTTCTTTTGGCGCACAAAACAGAGACAGTCTTCTTCGGGTTTCTTTTCATTAACATCTTTGGAGGATTTCCTGCCCACCGAGGTTCAATGCCCCTCGCTGCCCGTCCAGCGCACGGGCGTTACAGACGGCCTGTTACCGCAGCTCGGTGCTACGTCCTGATGGTTGGGGAGCTGCTTTGGTTTGTATTGTTTTGGTTGTTCGCTTGGTGGGTCGGTTGTTTGGGTGGTCGGCTCGTTTGTTTGTTTGTTTGGTTGGTTGATTCATTTATTGCTTGTTTTGTGTCGTCATGTCGCCGGAATGGCACTTTTTCGACTCGACTGAGGCCCACTTTTTCGGCCATCGGAGGAGGTGGACATCCATGTCCTTGCCTAAGAGGAGGTGGACATGTGTGGAAGGACTCTTGAAGATCAGCCAAACGATGTTGAAGAGGATGTGGAGGACAGATATTGATATTGAAGAAGTTACACTCCAAAGCTTAAGAAGTGACCTTCCAAACCTTTTGTCCAAATCCGTCCGAGCAAATGCTGGTACGGGGGTCTTCCGCGCCTGACTCCAGCGCGGCTGCTGGTGGCCGGCTGGCGACTCTTACAAGGAAGGCCTTCATCAAGTTCCAGCCCTACGTAGAATCTTGATTCGTAAAATCCTCCGCCATTTGGACGGTCAAATAGCCCCTGCATGTGGGGGTTTTGAGCTAAAACTCCAAGATTCCACAAGCTCGCCGGGAGCCCGAAGCCTTCGCGCCCACTCCTAGAGGTTCTCGTCTCTCGAACCTCTCGTCTCTCGCCGTCCTGAGGTGTTCCTCACGACGGAGGAGCAGCTGCAGTGGTGGACGGCAGAAGGTCACTCCCTCAACCAGCGATCTCGTGCCGTAGCCGGCCGGAGCCAGCTGTCTGGGCCGGAGTGAGCTGGGCGACGCCGGTACGGACGTCCCCCCAAGCCCAACAGGTGGGCGCAGAAGGCGCAGAAGGGTGCCAGGGGAAGTGGCTGGCGGCCAGATGTGGCTAGTTCAGATTTCCAAGGGAGGGGCCCCAGAGGCCTTTGTTGATTGCAGCGGTTCCGGTGCGGTCGAAGGTGTTCGGGCCCAGGTGTGCGGGAGCTGATGGAGGTGCCCCTGTTCAACATGACGGTGGCGGCCCTCCCGTTTTTTTCCGTTTTTCCTTCGATCTTGGTGACGCATGTGTCCGTTTTTGGTGCCAGAATGTGCGAGCTTTTCATCATTATCATCAATTGTCTAGCTGCTAGCTGTTATATACCCTGCTGTAAGTCGCTTCACGTGGCTTGGGCTTGGGACAGACTTACAGTCCTACACAGCGACTCGAGTGGTGAGCACTGTGGGTTTCCAGTGGCACTTCCTTGCCCAGGCGCGCTACGGCGAGGTGAATGCCAGCACTCTGCCCGGGGGACTCGGTTCTCCGGTGGGTGGGGCTTGTAAGGAACCTGGCAGAACCCTCGCAGGGAGGTCTTTGAGCCATCGATGTTCTGAGTTGGGGGGCCGAGAAACCCTGTCCAAAGTACATTTACATATCTACCATATAGGAAAGAAGACCTGCATGGACCCTCCTGTCGGGGTGTCCAATGGACTACCCCACACTACCTATAGGCTTCCATTGGGCACCCCTTGGAGGTTCCGGGTATGAAACAGCAGGATGTTGAGCTTTGTACGTACTTAAAATTGACCGCCCATTTGGCCCCACTCGACAGCACCGAGGGCCACCGTGCCGCTGTCCAAGCTCCCGAGCGTCCGGGGCGCTCAGCTCGTTTTTCATGATTTTCTGCGGGGCGATGTGTGGAAGGTGATGTCTTCGAGTGATGTCTTCCAGTTCGTTTCGACCATTTTCAGGCAACCCTGGTGCTTTGATTTTGGGTGTGTCAGGGTGGTTACACTTGTGAGGTGTACCTCGAGGTGAGGTTGATTCGCTCTGGATGGGTGTGAACCATTTTTCAGCAGAAACACATCGGTCGAACCGCTCGGGGGGGGCCCGGGCAACCGGTGAAGAGTCGGGTTTCGGACAGACGGCGTGGCGTCCGAAAAACGTCCCAGAAAACGAACACCTCTGACTCGCGAACGCCGAGTGAGTTGGATGTGGTGGTTCCAAAGCGTTTTTGTGTTTTGGATTTTCGCTGGGGGAAAATGTGATTGGGCTTTGCCGGGCGAACCGCTCGATTGCTTTCGCGCGCTCGCTCAGGTTCGGCTCAACCAATCCTTGTTGTATGCGCACTCTTACCTAGTGAAGTCAGGCGCCAGGCGGGCACTGAGTGCCGCGTTGGAGGTAGGAAGGTGGGGCCGGTGGGGTTATGTTCTTTTGGTGTTCTGTCTTGAGTTTGGCAGTCTCAGACTTTGTTGTCCAGCATGCTTTGTAGCTGGCCGAACTTCACTGATTTCGTGGCTTTGGCGGGGCAAGTTGGGTCTTTCCTCGCTTCGGTCGCCCTCGGTCGCCCTCATCGGCGGCTTGCGTTTGAAAGCGGTTGGACAGACGGCTTGCCCGCCTGCTTCGGCCGCGAAACGCGTTTGCTTCCTTTGCTTGTGTTGTCTTGCCCGGCTTGTCCGAGCAAACCCAGTGGGAAGAGCAAAGGGGTTCCGCCGCTTTTGCGCTTGCTACGTGCCCTGCAGTATGTTGCTGTACAGTCCTGCATGATGTACATTCCCGTTTGTCACAGCTTCATCACCAAGGCACTTGGCTTTGCGCATTTGGATTTCCTCCGATCTATTCGTTTAGCATTCTGCTCTAAATCAGTACCTCTGCAGCACAAGCACGGTGATGCTGAGCTCAGATCCACAACTGGCTAATGTGAGTGGCAGTACAACAGTAGCGTGTGTGCAGTGTTGTGCCAAAGTGTGGTGAAGAATGCCCCTGCGTGGGCGCTGGACAGACCACGATGGAAGAAAGGCCTGAAGCGGTCGGGACAAATACTGTAGTTCTAGAGGAATGTATCCAAACAATTTTTGACAGTTCTCATATTGAATGACAACAGTTCTCACATTGAATGACAGTGCATGGAACATGCCCCACGACTCACCCCAAAGACCCCACTTTTGGGGAACGTCGCCCTGGCCGGTGCCAGGTTGATGGATGAAGTGCAGAAGTTGGCTGCAACCGAGCAGCCGAAAACTTGGTTGAAAGACCTCAAGACTTTCTGGCGGGAGGACTTCGGAACATTTTTTCGTGGGCTGATACATTGCACTCAAGTGTTCGAAGGGGTTACTTTTCATTATCTAGTCATGAGTTTCTAGAGCGACGATTCGATCTCTTACTCTTTTCTTCGCTTTCCAAATGGTAAGGGATTTTCCATACTCATTTGAGCCTTAAAGGCTTCCGCGCTCGAGTCGGGTCGGATGCGCGCCTGGTGCGCTGCCTGGTCGGACGTGCTTCCAGCAAGTCGGAAGTTGGACGTGGCTTTTTTCGTGGCGAGGCCTCCGCTGCGGGGGCTCATCAGCGAACAGGCGCCGGGGGCCCCTGGCTGTGGCTGAACCCGGGCGCCGTTGGCTTCGCGGCAGGGAGGCTCTATGGAAGTTTCCTATCCTGTCAGGTGTAATCCTTCAACCTGTTTCTGTTTTGGGGGGATTGGTTTCCGGCTCCAGGTGGAAAGAGGTTCACCAGGCAGATCGGGTATGACTCAGGTTGCACACCACCGCCGCGATGGTGAAACTCCAACCGCAGGCCAGCGGCGGCCAGGGCTCAAAAGACCTGGGGAGAGCAGTCCAAACGAGGGTGAAACTTTTTTCCAGCAGGCATCGGCATATGTACAACCCACCACGTGGTTCTGCTTCACCGATGGACCATCATGAATCGGGTCATCTTAATAGAGCGGTCCGTCTTCCCTCCCAACCAGGCGTGTGCTTGTCATCAGCTTCGCGGACAATATATGTGTGCAATTGTGATCAATTTTGGCAATGACCATGACACTGCAAACCAGAGCTTTCCCAGAGGCGCATTTCTGGCTGCCCAGCTTCCAGAATGTCATTCCACCAGAAGCTATAGTGGGAATGCTACCATTTTTGTCCTGGTTGGATCTGGTTCAAGGATCCAACCTCTAAATATAAGTATATAGATGTCGTGGCATTCAGGAGGTACCCAAGAACATCTCAAGAGCTTTGGAGTCCTTTGGAGTCCTTGGTGTTTCTACCAAAGCCGTCTGCCTCCTCATGCCTCTTTATCCGTCCTTCCACTCTCGGCCGCTTCCAGGTCCGAAGGCCGACCCGGAAGCTTTTAGCCGGGCGCCCTTGCTTTCGCATGGTCGAAGCGCATGGAAGGTATTTTCATGCTATTTCATGGTCATTCTGTCGTTTTGGCACCGGAATGCAGGCATGTTTGATTGAACTTCCCCCTTTTTTTAGCTTTCCCTTACGTTTATGGACGTGCTCCATCTCTGACACTGAGAAGTTGCTGTTTCCGCTGAGGAGGAGGTCAACGCAACTGAGAAGGAGGTGGACACCGAGCCGGGCCTCCTGGAAGTGGTGCTGGAGTTGGCCAAGTGGAACAGCCTGTGATCCTCGAATGTGGAATGACAGGGAGTCCAAGAAAGGTCTGAACCAAGTGCTTCATGACGAGATCCGGTAACACCATGTGGGTGATGATGTGCTGCTGCTGCTGCTGCTGCTGCTGCTGTAGTTAGCTGGTCATGGCCCGAGTCGGCCTTTGGAGCGTGCACATCGTGCACCTGAACAATACCCCACGAGTTGTACATGGGCTCGATTTGACCAAATGCGCACCATGTGAGCCTTGCAATTGCTGCAAAGGATGTCCCATCAGGCTTGCCAAAAAAAGACTTCTCGTCCCGCCCTTCCTTTGTCCGAGCCTGAGGCAGGCTGAGAAGGTCACTGTGGAGCTACCCTTCGCGACGCGTTCGCTGGAGGCAAGGGTCATGTTTGTCATTTTAAGTCTATGACCAGCAATTTCGGGCCTTTTTGAGCCTACGTCTCTAGTGGCACAGGGCGGAGGGGGAATCAATTGAAAGTTCAGGCAGTCGGCCCACTTAGGTATATCCATCCTCGGCCCTCAAATGGGCCCTGAGCTCCAGATTCGGCGGGTGGCTGGCTCTGGAACGGAAATGCAGGACATGGATGGAAATGGTGGTATGTAGCTCCAAGTAGGTGCCACACGCAGCAGGTTGAAGCCTGTTGAAGCTTGTTGATCGCATTCCCCAGCACGCACCACGACGCCGAACCGCTTCCGGAGACCACCCGCCTACCGCACCGCGCACCGGCCCGGAAACGTCCGGAGAAGCCGAGGCCACCGGTCTCTTCATTCTGACGTCGTTCCTGGAGTGCGCGACCCCAGGTGCGTGGCGCTTCGCACTGCGATGCACGGCGCCACGCAGCACTCGCGCCAGGGCAGGCTGGGCATGGTGAAAACACTGTTTTCGGCGCCCGACGTCACGAGGCCAACGCTGTACATGGCGGCCTTGCGCCATGGACGGGAGCTGAGCACGGGATAGGTTGGAGTGTCTACATCTTGATTCTGCGCTGTGCACTCTGGCTGGTCCAAGGCGATTGTGGTTCAATTGCCATCATGCAAATACTTCAATCAGTGTAGAATGCTGATGAATCAAACCCACCACGTGAAGAGGTTGTTTGCGCATCCAATGAAGGTCATTACCTGCCGACGTCGGACGTGTCCACCACCTAGGCATTGCTTGTGTGTGGGCCAGCGTGCTGAAGCTTCGGATGGACCAGGCGGGGACTCCTCAGTCGAATTGGGGGCGTTGTTCATTGACCTGAGCCAATGCACCGGCAAGAGGAATAAATAGCCGATTCATTTGTATTTTTAGAGGGTGATGGTTGTTGACCTGACCGCCTAATTGATGCATCTTTGAGCCTATGAATCTCTTCCGGGTATCAGCTGATTTCCATGGAAGTTGACGCTAACACGCCAGGCGCCTTCCAAAAAGGTGACACCTGAAATGCCTCGTTTCGTGGTGGACTTAACAATTTGCGTGTGACACTGTGTGGCATGTGCATGAGATGGTGAAGGGTCAAAACCTGTAAGTAACAATTATATATATATATATACATTCAAAACTGTCTCGATGCCACATGCTACGCACACATGCCCCGAGTTGCATCATCTTCGTCCGATTCGTGTCAAAGACGTTGGAAGGAACAACGTTATCTGGTCAATCCAGGGTTTTCAGAGTTCTGACTCCACGTCCATCGATGTGCCTTGTGAATCAGATGGTTTTCACCTTCTGCGTTTGCTCACATGCTCAGCTGGCACCAGCTGTTAGCACACCTCACCTGATCCCTTGGCTCTCCTTGGTCGGGGCCGGCATGTTTGAACAGTCGTTCGCATGTATTCATGGTAGGAAGGAGGCAACTCGCTAAACCATGCTAAACCTCTAAGGGGATGTCACCAAAATGCCATTGTCTGGTCCAAGTGAACGTGTCTCTCCATTTCTCATGTGAGTGTTTCGATTTGGCTGTTGGGAAGAGCATAGTCGAGCTTTCGCCATATATGCCTCCCAACTCGAAACAAAAGAGATCAGTTCCTTCGAAACCGGAAACAGATTCTGTTAGGAACAGACTCTTTCAAAAGCACAAGCGCCGTCCGTCGACGTCGTCACCGGTCGCCTCCGTCGGCGTCTCCGCCAGGAAGTCTCCGCCGACTCCGAGGAGCGAACGACGTTCATCGGCTGAAGAAGCACCGAAGCGGGCTGCCAGGGCGATGTGGAAGTGGAGTGAGAAGTGAAAGTGATGAGGGGGCCCACCCTGTGAGTGAACTTTCAGGATGGATGGAACGTCATCAATTCTGAATGGGGCCTCTTGGCTCTCCACGTCACTGACATGATGGTTTCGTGCAGTGGATGTCTTAAGATCTCAAACAATCCTTTGGATGTGGCATTGCTGACCAGAGGACTACGACGATGCGTACCCCCCGCCATTGCTGTACAAGGCAACGGATGCATCAAATCAAATCTATAAGTCTTCCGGCAGTCTGATCAGCCTGGCATTCGTTTAAAGTTTTATACTAGCTACTTAAGTATACTGTACTTATTAGGCTAAGGTCATGCGTGGCATAGGTGTACAAAGTCTTGGACATCACACCCACAGCAAATCATGGTAAAGTGCCTCACAATTGGATACTTCTCCACAGGAGATGATCTTCGACCATGGCCAGCCCTTCCCTGTTCGGGAGCGGGAGGCGCGGTGCAGATCGACCGAGAGAGCCGGCCCGGAACATAGAGAACCCTTTCCGGCTGCGTGGAACTTCCTGGCCTTACTACGAACGGAGCGATCGGACGCTATATATAGGGGCTCCTGGCCTCGCGACCAACGGAGCATTCGTACTACGAACGGGACAAGAAGCAAAGACAGGAAGGGCAGGAAGGTCCTCTTTTGTCCGGCCTGTCTGGCCGCTCCTGCCAGCCTATGGGCCTATGGTGCCAATGGAGGCCTTCTCTAGCACCCCTAAGAAGGGTACTCCAGACGTTCTTCCAAAACAGTCAGTGAGAGGGCACAGATAGGCACAGAATGATCGAAACGGCTCCCTTTCGGAAATTTCAGCTTGGTGAGAGGAGAAAGTTTACTCAGTGGTGTAAAACCACATTGAATTAGATAATAGGTTCATCAAAACCGTGTTCGCCCAGTAAATCCAAAAACCAAACCATCAATAACATTCAACACTCTGGAGATCGAGACCGGTGCGGTCCTGGGGCCAGGTACGCTACGACGCGCGGCTGATGCCGCTGGACGTGCAGGGGGGTCATCCGTTCTGTTTGACAGCATGTGACAGCTGGGTATAACTAGACTCTTGAGTGCTGGACCCCCTCACCCATTGGGAATATGGCAATCTTTTTGCTATGGGAGGGTGAAAATATGGTATGGGAGGGGAAGGCTGGTTCAAGTGTGGCACTGACAAGGCTCAAGACAAAGTGATGAGGGCAAGAGAAGCACTTTTAGGAAAAAAACACCAGGAAGGAAGGAACGGACCCACTCCTTACGAACGCCAAGTCAAACCCATCATCAACCCGCTTGCTCCGGCTCGACGTTGCCACGGTCGACCCTTCCCCCGAGGCAGTCCGGCGAGAAGCTCTACGCACCTCCCTTCCACATCGACACCTGGGGCTCGGGCGCCCCGGTGGCTCTTTCCGCTCCGGTTCCGGGGCTTCCGGGTTCCGCCGGTGACACCGAGGGATATCGTCGAAGATGTGGAGACCCTTGGAACTCAACGAGTCCAGGCGCGGTGGGGTGGGGCAACTTGCTTTTTCGCGACAGACAGATGAAGCAGAAGCAGAACACGAAGACCTTGGTGTGAGTGATCAAGAGGTCTCAAACAGGTAGCTGCATGATCTCCAATTTCGAAAACCATCCAACAAGACCCGAACTCTTGTCGTCCGAGCAGCTCGTCTCGTGATGCCTCCCGGAGCATGCCTCCGTCCGCGCTACCGCAGGGAGGACCCCGTGATCCATGCGGAGGCGCGGAGCGATCGGTGTGGTGGAATGGAGCAAGCAGCGGGCGAAGACTGCGAGAAGACGAGTGGTGTGAAACAGGATGACGCAGGTGAATGGTTGGTTTTCTTGAGGCACTTTTTCCTTGAACATCTTGACATCTCAAAGGTTGCTTCACCTAAAGCCCTGGAAGAAGCCAGAAATGGAGACCGACCAGCGTCACGAGCTTACTAGCTGACTAGCTGTTTGGCAGTGACATCAGGGTCGCTGACTAGATAACACAACGAACATTGGCGTTGCATCTGCCCCCCATCATCTCCACTACAGTGACCGCCTCCCGCGTTTTGAAGATCACTGAATAGCATAGAGCTTGGTGTTCGAACTTCTTCACCCAAACACCTTTTTCGCACCTCTCGGAGCCGTTCTTTATGGCTCACCCTCGCGTCTCCCGCCGGCACCGCACGGCACACACGCCGCGGCATCGGTCCGTCGCGGGAGGTGAAGTTCGTGGGAATGATCCAATACAGCACCCAGAGGACCCTCATGGAGATGATGAGACCGTGACCGCGACCGCCGGACGTGTTGGGCCGCGATCGGCCCGATGCACTTCGTTCGGTTGGAGGCGGAAGTCAATCACCGGGGGGGCACACGAAAGGGTCGTTCGGTGCGCGTTGGTGTTGGCCAATGAGCTGCAGAGGAGTCAGACAGATGCAGAGAAGGAGAGATTTGGGGCCCAGCTTTTCCAGGGCGTGGTACATCGTGGTACACGTGGTGCTTAGTGAATTCACGTGGAGGTACATGCGAATGGGCTTCACCGAGCGTGATTTGGAAGACATCAAGGACCGTGTCATGACCGGAGGGAGGGGGTCGGTCAGGAGTGCTCTTTTGGCCCCGGCACCGTGAACCCTTTTGGAGGGTTTGGTTAGATGATACGGTGGTTTCAGAGTAGATGGCACAACCCCAAGATGTCTTTTATATAGGGGTCCATATAAAGCACCTTCTTTTGGGCATTGTGCCATCTACTCCGAAATCACTGTAGATGAACCGTCAGGCTGCAGGCTTGATGGGAGGGCCAGAGTTTAGAAGTCGGTGTAGAAGTGCAGGGGGCGTTGTGAGATAGGTGAGGCACTACATTTGCCAGAAGCTCTGTATGGATGAACGCACGACTCATTGGAATTGCCACTGGGAAATCATGCCAGGGGAGCCTTCACGCTGCATACACTCTTAAGTAGAGAAAAAGGTTGGTGCTGGCAGCAATTGGTGGGTGGATTGTGGGCCGTAGGATGTCACATGGATGGACAGACTCTGCCGTGCCCCTCGTCCATGCCCAGGAGTTCTTATTTCGACGCCCGCTGCACATTATGATCCTCATGCAGGCGCTGAGGGGCTGTGGTCGATGCTTCCAAAACATTCCAAACCTGGAACTATACACGAGGATTGTGGCCAAATCATGCCAAATCTATGGTGTTGCTCGGCCCCGCTGGTTTGTTCAGAATGGACAGAGCTTCCGGAGGAATTGCTCCCCTAAACCGTCCCTCGGTCGCCGATGTGGTCCATCACTCACACGAGCCGAATAAAAGCACTTCTGGTCGTTCAACGTTTTGTGGCCCCAACTGAAACCCCAGGTCATCGGCATCCTGCAAACGATGCTGTGGACGTGGGGCAGCCCCAGGGCGAAAAAACACACCACAACATGACTCACGTTGCCGTTGGGCGTCTCTGTGAGACGACTCCGGGATGAGTCATGCCCGCCAGAGAGAGAGAGAGAGAGAGAGAGAGCGCGAGTGACAGGAGCTGTTTTTACAAGCTTGGGGGGCCCGGAGTTGCGGGGCAACATCTTATCATTTGCCAACCGTCGCATCATGTGGACTGTTGATGAATCAAGAATCAAACCCCCCAGATGAAGAGCTGTCACAACATGTTGCAAACAGATATGGTGTGAGATTCATCAACTCCATACTCTATATCTAGTTTCTTAGGTGAGCCAACCACACATCAAGCAATTCTCAGCATCACTGTGCGTGACCAGGGCAGCAAGACATATGCACCGTTTGCCCCCGGGCAAAGCGGCGAGCCGCCGGATGGCCATCCCAAGCAAACCACCTCCAAAGGTTTGAAGTGATTTTTGGGCTTTCAAAGGTTCTGGCCAAAGAGGCCAAAGTATTGACACTGCTTGGGCACAAAGACAGACAAAACCCCAGACCTTGAAACTTGATGAGCAGGTTCCTGCCGGTCATGAGACTCGAGATTGTGACACAAACCTTGGCGGGTAGGTTCTGGTTTGAGGGGTTATTCTGGGCACAATGGCGACCTTGCCAAACCTGATCACTGGCCTAGATATGCCTAGATTGGTCAACCAGTCTTGGATCTTTTTCGGGGGTCGGTGACGGAGTCCGGCCCGAGCCAAGGTTGGCGTTCAAGAACGACATCAGCTTCTTCAGGGGACGTGCTGGCCTCATCCTGTGAAGTTGTTCACCGACCGATGCTGTGACCTGCCCTCCGATGGCCCACGTCCCGTCACGGTCCCTGATTCCCCCGTCACGGCTTCCGAGTCGGTGCCCCCTTTTTGCCCCGAAGAGATCCCAACACACCTCGAACATCGCGTCACTGTACATCGTCCGTGGCCGGCCTCTTTCCTTCCCTGGCCTTCTTTCCCTCGACCTGCCCTCGGCCCTCGGCGTTCCGCGTCGCGCCTCGCGTCCCGCCAAACGTGACCGCGTCAGGCGAAGACTACCGTGGCTTGTCGAGCCGGTCGATGGGTACGGATGCTGCAAACGTCGGGGGTTCTCAGAAGGTGAGCGGTTGAGAGAGACGTTTTCTCACCCTCCCTGAAGAATGGCATTCTTCTTACTGTATCATGGAAGTGGAAGGTTATGGCATGAAATCCGAAGACTCGCATGAGCATAAAGTGCATGAAATCCGAAGACCAAGGTGGTTTTCCACTTCCATGATTCAAGGGAGTGTAGATTCAGATATATAACATTATAACTATATAACTCATTAGATCATTAAGATCAAGAGTTGTAGCTTGACGAGCCCTATTTCTCGGGTTCTAGCTTCGGTCTATCCCTGGTGTTTGACTCGCACCCTTTCTTGATTCAGAATTTGGACACGTGTAGAATGACTCGAATGACTTTGCAACAAGGCGATGGTGATCTTCCTCTACCTCTATGATTTCGATGACATCTCAAGGCTGATCTTGTTCCAGCTGGGCATGTGCTTGCCCAAGCTTTTTTTTCGGGAGGGACTCGTGGCCCACCGGAGCTGCCCTGGTCTAAGGACCACCGCCTTTGACCTCTGGAAGTACGCCCGCTCGGGCCGCCGAGCAACACTGGAGACTGGGTCTCCCTTGTCGGAGGAGCACTCACAATCGACTCTGAAGTTCGCGGTGTTTCCCTTTTCTTTTGGGGGGAAGCCGAAGATAAGACCGAAGATCCTTCGCCTTGGACCCTTCCCTCCTTTTTTGGCCTTAGATAGTGATACCCTCCAACGAACACTGTGGGTGACTATGGATGACATGTTTCCTTTAGCAACAGGGTGGCATCCACTTTTTATACGATTTTATACGGGTGTGCAGCTTGAAATCGGAAGACCCCCTATCTCGCCCCTGGCTGAGTTACCCCGGGCGCCCTGAGTCACCCCTGCTCCCTTCGGTCGAATGCCCTGAGGCGTGGCTCGACTTCATGTGCGCTGGCCCGGAGCACTCAGAGGAAGCTCCGGTGCAACCGCCCGGGACAACGGTGCACACCGGTGCACTGGTGCAACAGGGTGGTGGTGATCTTGGGATGTCTTGGGTGCGGGCTAAACATGAGGCAGAACTCCGAGTCGAGAGCCTTTATTGTTTCACCCATTCTCACCCTAAACGGTGCCTTCATTTGTTTTTGACAGCTCTTTGGGCACGGCTAGGCTAGGGAGGTGATTCGGTAGATGGATATCACCATGGGTCAACACAAAGCCGATGTACGGCGACCGATGCACGGCCTCCCTGCCCACCGACAGCTCTCGGGAGCCTCGCACTCAGGGCCTTCTATCTGCCCTGGGTGAAGTCTGCGCGCGTGGAGGAGGCGAAAAACGGTGTCGTAGTCTGAACGACTTCGCCAGATTGATGTGATCCTAGCACAGAAATGCACAGAACACCTCGCAGCTCACCCCAGAACTCACCACAGCGTTCCCGTCGCCTCCCACGGAAGGCTTCGGCCGAAAGGAGGACGGATGAGATCGATGCGAGGCCATGGGGGGGGTGCGGGAACGGTGCCAAACGGTGCCTACATGGGTGCGCATTTAAGGTAGGTAGATAGATAGATAGATAGGGAGACCCGGAATGAGTGGGTTTTGGGTGTTTTTGGGGTACTTTCCCCTCTTCAAGGGGTCTTTGGGAGGTCTCCCTTTTTTCATACGCACCCACATGTGTGTAGGGCTTTCTGCGAAAGCCACTTGTTGTTTTGGAAGTCAGGGCGATGTTCTACATCAAGTGCGCCATATTCCCCATTTGTCTCTTCTTTTGCTTGTGCGGCCCCTAGAATCGTTGCGTCAGGCTGCCCGCTTCGTCGAAGGAACCGTAGGATCACGGATCGAATCAACATGTCCATTTGGTGTGGCCTGCTACGGTCAACTATCAGCTGCGTTGACATGTCTATCTAGCACTTACTTAAGACTCAAACAGCAAAGAAAAAAGACATCAGCTGAAACATGACATCGGTCATTTGGAGGATTCTAGAGGGAAGTGTATGTAATTTGGAATCTTCAAGACGTGTATGGCGAAGGCTCAATTAATCAGTTTGTAGTCTTGCACCACGTTTTGATCACTCTGAAAGCCACTTGTTTGACATGATGTAGGCAACGGCACCAATTCATAACATGGCTCTTCAGGGATGCTTGTCCTGAATGAAGGCTCAAAGGGCGGACGGACTGCCGAGGCATAACCTTACTTACTACCATTACAAGAGCTGGTGGAGTTGGCTGATCTCTTCCATGGCGGGGCCCGATGGCTGTCCGAGTTGCCCGAACCCCGATCTGGTAGAATCGGTGAGTCACTGGATCTTCCGCACGTGTTCAGCAATGGATGGAGGGTGAGCTCCATAGAGTAGTAAGTAGGCAAGAACGGGCTCTGTATTCATTCTTTGACATCTGAAGCTTGCTGTCGCACGTGCCTCCAGGCAGATTTCTCATACGGCTTCGGATTCATCAATATGCTGCCGCGCGCCTTCCATGCTTGCCAAAGATCCGCATACCAGCAAGAGCTAGGCATGTTCTTGTTTGCAATGCTTGCCATTGGTTTGCGTCAGGCAAGTCATCATCAACTACCACTTAAAATCAGTTGTCCTGGCCTTACTTTGCTGTAGTTGTCATAGCACCTTCCCTTGTTGGAAGCCTTTGGCAGCTTAGGCTCATATGCCTTGGAGAGTATTGATCTACAAGTTCTTCAACACCTTTATTGACACTCGCAAGTTCAAGACCTTCGTCCAGACGACCCCACCGCCCCCCAAAAATGGTATACTATTAAATGAACAAAATCCTGCACCAAAGTATATAGCATCCGATTTACACGGAAGTGGGAACCATCCTGTTCAAAAAAAGAAAGCTATATTGTGAATTTGTATGCATTGGAACATGCATATCATGATATGAGATGGCGGCCCTCTCATGTGACCATTTTGGCACAAGGGCCCTTGAGTCTGGCTCATCCGAGCCCCCGACGGTTGCGCAATGGAAAAGTGAGCGCACCGCTTGCTTTTGGTCGTGACGGAGTTCTTTGATCCCCGTTGGTTGAGTTGTGACAGTTGCCTTTACAAGTTGCTGTTGATCCTCCGCTCACCATTTTACATGGTAGCGGAGCTGCCAAGCTCCAGGATTGCTTTGTGAGGTCCCGGCCTGATCCCGGGTGCGGTGCAAACCGCAGAGCAGCTCGTGCCATCTAGGTACATTGCTTGTGCAGTGGTGCAAAGTTGAGTTGACGTTGATTGTTGAGCATTGACATTGATTGTTGGTTGTGGAACATTGTTGTTTGTTGTTGGCAGTTTGAGCCATGGACTACAAAGACACTCTCAAAGACCTCTACTTCGATGGGAAGCCAAGCGGATATCGAGAGTTCAGACGCAAGCTGATCCTTGGTGTTGCATCCCTTGAGGACAAGCAACAACACCTGGCCGGTCCTCGAGTCCTCGGAAGATTGTCTGGCGAAGCTTGGAAAGCGACCGAAAACATTCCAATTGCTGACCTTAGATGTGAACAAGGCTGGCTGCAAATTGTTCGGACGCTTGATCAGCATTATCGTTATTTGCCCGAGACCGAGCTCCACGAGGCCATAGATGAGTTCCTTTTTGGGTTGAAGCGGAAGGGACATGAGGGAGCCACTTCCTTCACATCCCGGTTCAAGACAAGTCTGCATCGCCTGGAAACGCTCATCTCACAGGAGCGACAGCTGTCGAAGAAGCAACCGAAGTCCGCAGTCGAAGAAGAAAAGAAAAAGGAAGATTCGAGTAGTTTGGAAGAGTCGGACGAACATGCCCTACCTCCAGACGATCCCAATGAACAAACTGATGAAACTGAACAAGAAGCTGGAGATGAAGTCCGGCCAGAAGCCAAGGCCAAAGCAGCACCTCCTCCAGGTCCTTTTGATCCTCCCCTTGATCCTCATCGTCGGACCGGATCCACTCCATCGGTCCGAAGTGCGAAGTCGAGTTCAAAGGCTTCACAGGGGAAGTCCACTGGGACTCAGAAAGGTGACCAGCGAAAAGATCATCTCCGTATGCAACGTCTTCTTGGAACGTTGGAGCAGTCGCATACAAAGCCAAAACCGATTTTTCCACAGTCAGTTTTGGGACACTTGTTCATGAGAAAGTTTGGTTTGTCGCGTGAGCAACGCAGCCACATCATTCGTTCAACAGGCGGCTCCAGTCGATTTGTTGACATTGAGAAGATTTTGCGTGCTAGTGACTATGAGGAGAGATTGGATGACCGGCGACCACGGCTGGACGATCGTCGACAGGTGAGACCACGACGCGAAGCCTATGCTGTTGAACAAGTTGCTGAAGCTTCATCCACCTCCGTCGACCCACTTTCTGACTCCGGGTCTGGTGAAGAGGCCTACCAAGTTGAGGGTGGCGAAACATCTCTGGGTTCAGGTTCTGAGGAAGAGCTGCAGGAGATCTATGAGATTCAGAAGAAAGCAAGGAAAGAATTCAAGAAACAGTTTCGCACCTACAAGGAGTCAAAGAAGAAGGTGAGGGAAATCAAAAGAGCACGACAACCATACATGCCGGTGGTGGCCATTCCACCCACCGAAGGCGGCCAGTCCCAGGCTCCACTGGGAACTCAGGCTGCATCGTCCAAAACACCACGCTATGAGAAAAGGTCCTTTGACAAGAAGTCGCCACAAAAGGACCCAAAGAAGAAACCACCGAGGCGTGAGGACGCCAACCTGACAGAAGCTGTGGAGATTGTTGACAGGACATTGACCGAGTTCAACTATGCCCTGACCGAGTCCACCGCTGCTGAACTGGAAATTCTCCTGGCCTCAATTCCATCGGGTTTTGCAATCATTGATACTGGTTGTACAACATCCGTTGTTGGCGAGGAAACAGCACAGAGATATCAGCAGGTTTTCAGACAATGCAATTTTCCTCCACCCGTGCGTGTCACAATGCCTACAGTTGAGCTTCGTGGCTTTAATGGTCAGAGCGAAACAACAGCTGTTGGTTTGAAGTGGACAGTACAGCTGGGTTCGTTGAAAGGGAATATCACGACATATGTTGTTCCTGGAAGCGCACCATTCCTGCTGTCACGAAGGGTGTTGGAGGGTATGCAGGCCACACTGGACTTGGGCCGAATGACCATCACGAGTCCAAAACATGGTATGCAAGATGTACCCCTGAAACAGGCCGCAAATGGCCATCCGCTGTTGTCTCTGGTGCCACAGGTTGCTGAGTGGGAGACAGTCCTCAACGACTCGAATACAAATGAGCCCAATCCGCATGAAGCCCAAGCGATGGACCGCCAGTCCATCTCCGTTGATCTCGAGCACCACCAAGAACTCAGAGGACAGGACACGAACAAAAACAGTGTTTTAAGTGCACCAAAAATGGAGCCAACCCCGTGTGATACTCGGAGGGCGTTTCAAACTGTGTGTAAACATACCAAACGAGGAAACGTCGATTGCAGTGCTTTTCGTGCCGAGCTGTCCCAATTGTTTTCATGTCCCGAACACCCGGTGGTGCATGCCTATGTAGCATATAAACCTAGACTAGAAAGGATTCCTGCCGAAGCCGAACGAACTTCACTTGATATGAATGTAGTCTCTATGGATAAAGATGGAAACATGCTCATGTCAGGATGGATCGTTCGTCCAGCCGGACGGGTCAGAAGACCTGTCAACCCAATGCAGGTTGCGATCTTTGCATTTCGATCCGAGCAAGCACCCTCTGAACCTGAGAGTGCCGGCAGTGAGTCCGATCGTGTCGAACCAGCAGAGCCGACGCCATCAGCGCACCAATGTGATTGTTGTTGTAATGATGACATAGAAGGGGATTGGGAATACACCATGCAATCAAACACCCTCGAAACTTTGTATGAAGAGGTTGACTGGGTAGATCTTGACTTGCAGGATGTTCCAAAAGAAACCCAAACGAAACTGAAAGACGCAATCACAGCTGCACGCCGTGTCGGTGTACGCATGGCTTTGTCGCGACTGCAGAGCAATCGGCAGGAAGTGCTTTCAGAACTTCGCCACTGGTTGGGCAACCAGGCTAGTAAACTTGACTCCAAGGTTGGACTCATAGAAGTTTTCACAGGAACAGCCAATTTGTCCAAACAGTTCGAAAAGAGAAACCAGAAAACAGCAATCCAAATTGGGATAGATTATGGACATGATCTTGGTAGGTTGAGGGATAGACGAAATCTCCTATACCTGGTAGCCTTGACAAAGCCTGATCACATTTGGTTTGCTCCCCCATGTAAGTGCTGGGGTCCCTGGTCGAGGTTCAATGTGGCATTTTCCGAGTCTAGGAAACAAGAAGTATTGAAAAAGAGACATCAAGCTAGAAGACATCTGCAATGTGTTTCGGAAACATGGCATCTCCAAACCATCCTTGGAGGTCATGTACATGCTGAGAATCCGCACTCGTCCGATATGTGGCAGGAGTTAGTGCTTGGACCAGCCTGGTCAATCCGAATTGACCAATGTGCACTCGGGCTCCGTAGCCCCAAATCCAACATCCCTGTCTTGAAGCCAACTCGGATTGTCAGCACTCAGGAGTCTTTGATGCAGCACCTTGTCCCATTTCGGTGCGACCATAAGCATGGTCATGATCATCTAGAAGGAAACTACAAAGGTAGAAATCTGACATCCTGGGCCGAGACATATCCTAATAAGTTTGCACGTGTCATGGCCGATGGTCTTGCCAAAAGTCTCCATGGACATTCGGGTCCAGATGCAGTAGAGATCTTAGCTCAAGATGAAGAAGAAGATCAACTAGAAGAAGAGATAGAAGATCGATCAGAGAGACTGCCAGACCATGACGAGCTAAATTCGAACAGCCGAAGTTTGAATCCCAAGCAGCTGCGAGCGTCCGCATTGGTTCGTAAATTGCATATGAACACAGGTCATGCATCGACAGAACAAATGTTGAGGCTCGCGAACCGTTGCCAAGCCAGTCAGGAAATTGTGGACTGCATTCGGAACTTCCAGTGTCCCATTTGTAATGAACTCAAGCCTCCACCGTCATATCGTAAGAGTGCAATCCCCCCATGCAGAGAACCCGAATGACATAGTGGGTATTGATTTTGTTCAAGTAGAACTCAAGAGAGAGGGACGTAATGGGAAAATGACCGAAGTCAAGTTCAACGTGTTGACATGTGTTGATATGGCCACAGGTTTCGCGCAACAGATCATCGTTGAACGCGGTCCCAATCAGCTGTCAGTAGCTTTCCATAAGGTGTGGACACGTCCCTACGGCACTCCTAAGATAATATTCATGGACCCTGCCAAGACTAATCTCTCCCAGGATTTCCAAGAGTACCTAACACACCATGGCATTCAGTTGTTGCATGCGGCTGCCGAAGCACACTATCAGCTAGGTCAAGTTGAAATTGCCAATCGCATTCTCAGGAACATGGCCAATCGTTGTTGGCCAGGCACTGACCGTCCACCAGAAGAGGTAATAGAAATGTGTGCAACAACCCGTAATGAACAACTTCGAAAGCATGGTTTCAGCCCAGCACAATGGTTCTTGGGAAGGGACTCACGCCATGTGGGAATGCTTGCCGGCTTGGATGAGCAAAGAAATTTTGCTGCCCAGTCGCAAATCCTGTCAGATCCATCGTTTGCATCCAAGATTCGCCTTCGTGAAGAAGCGGCCAAGGCCTTTCATGAAGAACATGCGAAGGATGTTTGGCGAAGAGCTGTAGCCTATAGACATCGTCCCATGCGAGGACCATACGTACAAGGTCAACTTGTATACATGTTTCGAGCAGCAGGAAGAGGTCAGCTTAGCGCAAGACATGGTAAGCGGTTAGGACCTGCCAAAGTAATTGGGGTAGAAAGTTCATCAAATAGTCCCATACCACGCCTAGTTTGGACAAGCTATAATGGCTATCTCTATAGATGTCGACCAGAAGGCCTCCGTCCAATGTCCGAAGACGAAACTGAGTTTCGAGCGCTTGCAAGAGAACTTGCATTAGGCCAGCTGGCACCGGAAACGGAAGCTGCAGGTAAATCATTGTCGGAGGGCGTCGCTCGTTTTCATGATCTCACAAAGGACATCCCTGGTCCAGAGGACTTCGAACTCAAGGAAGATGTAGAAGCCGAACCTCATCCTGAGACCATCGATGACAGACCTGATTCGGAGGGTAGACCACATAAGATAAGACGTAGATTCTATCGTTCCCCTGAATATTGGCAAAAGAGATCACGAGGCGAGATTCCACCTCTCGGCGGTATGCATGAACAAGAGTTGAATCAGCAGCCATTTGCCGCTGTTGCTCCTGAAGAGATCCCCGAGGATAGACTTGAGCCAGCCGATAAACGTAGAAGGGTTGTTGAAATTGATTCATCTCCAAGTTATGCACCCACCGAACCGCCAGTTCCTCTTGAAGAAGAGGGATCTCAGTCAGGCTTTCAAATGCACAACGAGCTTGATGAGCTCATGCCTGACCCAGGTGCTGTACCTGCACACCTGGAACCAGAGACAGACACTAATCCGCCCGAATCCGATAGACCCGATAACACCGATGAAGTAATGCCTGAAGTAGACTCACGATCGAACGAGATCGAACCATCTGGCATAGATGTTCCCGTTCCAGAAGCTGGTGAAGACGAACTAGCGGTAACAGCCAGATTGCAACAGGCAGAACATGTGTTCGAACTTCCCATTGACGTCCATCCCGAAGACATCACTGAGAATCCTCTGTGTCTCTGGAATCTTTTTGAAGAATGCTTGCAAGCTGCGCCGCAGTCGAAGGCGAAGCAAAGAAGGGTTGAAGTCCAGTTCCGCAAACTCAATCCACACGACAAGAAACTGTTTCTCCAAGCTATGCAAAAGGAATGGCAAAGCTGGATTGACAATAAGGTGACTTCACTTTGCAAGGCTAGAGGGATTCCTACAGAAAGAATAATCAGAGCAAGATGGGTCTTGGTATGGAAAAAGTCATCCGATCCTGATATCACATCCAAAACTCCAAAAGCACGTCTAGTTTTGGTAGGATGGCAGGACCCGGACCTAGGAAAGGTAGCAACAGACAGTCCAACTTTGCGTAAGGAAACAAAGCACCTTGTTCTATCCATTTGTTCAGCATCCAAGTGGAAGCTATGGGGAGCCGACATAAAAACAGCGTTTTTGTCAGGTGATGAATCTTGCAGAAACATTTACTTTCGACCTCCAGCAGAAATCAAACAATGGATGAACTTGAGTACAGATGACCTGTTTCGTCTTGAGAAGGCTGCCTACGGCCTGGCTGAGGCACCACGCGCTTGGTTTTCCCGCCTGACCAGGGAACTTAAGGAAGCAGGGCTAACCCAGAGCCAGTTGGATCCATGTTTGTTTATGTTGAGGAGTAAGTCCGATAACACTTTGAAAGGCATATGTGGAGTACACGTAGATGACCTACTAGGTGGAGGTTGCAAGGAAATGGACCAAGCCTTGGACCGACTCCGAAAGAAATTGCCGTTCGGTGACTATCGTACTTTCACAATAAGATATACAGGAGTAGAGATTCGACAAAATCCAAATACGATGGAAATTGAAGTAGGACAAGAAAATTACATCGAGAATTTGGAACATGTTGAAACGAAGACTTTGGGAAACGCTTCAACGTCCCTTACAGATCCTTCTATCCTTAGAACTTGCGCCGGTCAGTTAGCCTGGGTGTCGAACTCGACACGTCCGGAACAGGCATTCCTGGCTTCGTATCTTCAAGGGGTTCAGGATAAGGGGAAAGTTGAACACGTCCACTTGTACAACGAAGCCGTGAGGGAAATGAAAACTAGAAAAATCTGTTTGAAATTCCCTAGCCACGTTCCAGTAAAAGATTGGCACATCGTGTGTATTGCTGATGCTGGCTGGTGTACTAGAGCTAACGGTGAAAGTCAAGGTGGATACATCCTATGTCTTACGACCAAAGACATCATGAAGAACAAGGAATCCCCTGTATGGATAATAGATTGGAGTTCTAAGAAGTTACGACGAGTAGTTCGTTCCTCAGTAGCAGCAGAAACCATGTCCGGTCAGAATGGACTTGATGCGATTGAGTGGATTCAATCCCTGCTTGCTGAGATCCTAGAAGGCCAATCGCCTCGAACATTTCGAGAACGAGTCCCAGAAAAGACAGCATGCCTCGTTGTTGATAGCAAGGGTTTCTTCGATGCAGTCACAAAATCGTGTAGCTCTCCTACTATTAGCGTAGAGAAGAGACTTCAGATCGACTATGCCATCGCAAAGGAAAGCGTGTCCTTGCAGAACATCATGGTCTTTTGGACTAGTAACATTTTCATGTGTGCAGACGTGTTGACTAAACTACGAGCCGACACAGGACCTTTCTATAAACTCGTTGACACTTGGAAATACACCATCCACACCGGAGTAGAGTCAGGTAAGAAAGAAAAAGCCAAGGCTAGAGCTGCAGAAGCAGAGAAACGTCAACTAGATGAGCACTAGGGCCCATGCATGCATGTTGTGAAGTGAATCCAACATTTGCTTGGTGAAACTTAAGAATTTGTTAGTTAGGTTGAGAAACCATCCATTGCCAGCCACCTCGAACCAGTTCGTTGCTGAGGAGTCGTCCTGGTTGTTTTTCTCATTTTTCTTGTGCCGCATCGGTTAAACCGAATTTTTGCACAGCCTTTTTGCTCCAAGGAGCGCACGACCGTGAAGTGTCGCCCATTCAGTCCCGCAGGATCATGTCGAAAGCAGCAAAGACCGATGATGAGGAATATCACATCCGGTCACCACTGACGGATCAGGATCTTAGCATGTGTGCCGGCCTTCTCCATCGAGCTGTCCGTTTCGGACAAAGTGCACAGTTGCTCCAGCGTGTGAACGACTGGGTGAAGATTCGTCCAGACCTCCGACCAAATGTTGTGGGAGCTCAGGTCATCGTGGATGCCTCCATGTCCGCCATGACTGATGCTGCGAAGCGACGCATGGATGCCGATGAGACCTCTCAGGCCTCGAATCCGTGGGAGCTCTTGAATGCCAATGAGCCTACCGGTTCAACCATGACACCGGAGCACCTTGCTGTGAGCCCAAAGGGATATGAAGCTGGAAAGGTGAACTTGTTCCCAGTGGCCAATGTGACCGATCCCTTGATTCCCTTGCCTGAAGGAATCAGCACCGTAGAGAAATGGGGACAGACCATCTGTCGTATGGATAAGGTGAAGGCTGAAAGCCTCACGTATGATCAAATGATCATGACGGCCCGCACGAATTCGAAGAAAGGAGAAGACATGCGTCAGTACCTCCAGTTCATTTTGTCAAAGTATGGTACTGGTGGAAAAGTGCCATCCAAGATTACCAAGGCCGTGGACTTTGCCATGTACCTTGAAAAGGTGAAATGGAAGAAGCCTGATTTTGAAGGTCTTGCTGAGAAGTACGGATTCAGCCGAGAGCTGCGTGACTGAACAGTGTCGCTGACAGCATGGTCCCATCTTCGCACCGCCATGAGGGCGTGTGAATTTGTATGCATTGGAACATGCATATCATGATATGAGATGGCGGCCCTCTCATGTGACCATTTTGGCACAAGGGCCCTTGAGTCTGGCTCATCCGAGCCCCCGACGGTTGCGCAATGGAAAAGTGAGCGCACCGCTTGCTTTTGGTCGTGACGGAGTTCTTTGATCCCCGTTGGTTGAGTTGTGACAGTTGCCTTTACAAGTTGCTGTTGATCCTCCGCTCACCATTTTACATATTTTGTCATCCGCCGTTTTCCGCTTTCCGCGATGATTTTAGGGAATGTATGCCAATAGTATGGCATAGTCTGGCAGAGTTGGTCGATGTGTCGATGCCGCGATGCTGAAGGTCGCGAAGTGAATCCAAGTAGGTTGTTCAGGGCGCCCTTTTGTTCCCAACGTCTTAGGGTTTTTGCCCACCTTGTCTGTAGGGTTATGGCCCATGGCTCCCTTTAAAACACCTAGGAGCAACGGAAAACAATCCTGCTTTCAGAAGGGGTGTGTGTGTGTTTGTGGTTGCTGATTGAATGCTTTGACATGATCATTTGCATCTTTTTGTTTCCTCCTCCCCGTATCTCCGCGCACCTGCCGAGGATGATATCTTTGCCTTCTTCATCATGAGCGATCGCATGACTGCCAAGCACAGGCCCCAATAGCTCGAGCTCGCCGTGTCCGACCACCCGCAGGACACACCCACACACACCGAAGGAGCCTTTGAACGAACGTGTTCGGCAAAACCGGAGGGGACTGGAGCATGTGACCGAAGTCGCTTCTGCGATTTGCGATATTTACCAGGCTACCGCCTGCAGCCGCCGACCCCCAAGGGATAGAACCTTAGCGCTAGCCTTGCTCTATGTTAGCCTTAGCCTTAAGCCTTAGCCTTAGCCTTAAGAGTGCAGACCCAACCCAGCACGACCAAAGCAGGTACCCAAAAAGTCGACTTTTTGGGTACCTCCCAGATTTACCATCGGACGTCAGCTCTTGCATGAACCCCGATCATTGCCCAAGAATTTAGACCCAACCCTTCACCACCAAAGCAGGTACCCAAAAAGTCGACTTTTTGGGTACCTCCCAGGTTTACCAATTTAGACCCAACCCAGCACCACCAAAGCAGGGACCCAAAAAGACAAAGCCTAGAGCATTCCTAGGAAAATGCCAGAAAAGCCTTTGAAAATCTCATAAACCAACAGAAAACGTGATAAAATCTACAAAAAAAACAAGGGCATTGGCCGGGACCATGCCGCGACCAGCCCGGGATTCGAGCCCAGGACCATTTTGGACCGTGCTTATTTTCCCGCGCGGGTCGAGAGGGTGCCCCAAGATGTAAATCAATTGGGATGGCAGAATCTTGGACAATTCCCGGGTCGCTCAGGTAGCTTTCAGGGCACAATTTCGTAACTCCAACAAGGGTCCGGAGGGGTAGGGGAGGTAAGGTCTAGGTCTAGGTCTAAGGCTAAGGACTAGGTTTGAGGCTAAGGATAAGGCCTAAGGCTAAGGCTAAGGCTTAAGGCTAAGGCTAACATCGGACGTCGTCGCTTGCATGAACCCCGTGATGCTCATCCCTTCTCCCCATAACGGATATCGTTGCCTTAGAGTTCAGACCGATCACCACCACAGCATCACCAAAGCAGGTACCCAAAAAGTCGACTTTTTGGGTACCGCCCAGATTTACCTTCGGACGTCATCGCTTGCATGAACCCCGTGATGCTGAAAAAGCAAGGGCATTGGCCGGGACCATGCCGCGACCAGCCCGGGATTCGAGCCCAGGACCATTTTGGACCGTGCTTATTTTCCCGCGCGGGTCGAGAGGGTGCCCCAAGATGTAAATCAATTGGGATGGCAGATTCTTGGACAATCCAGGTCGCTTTCCTGGCGAAATTCGACCGGATTTCGTCACTCCAACAAGGGCCCGGAGGGGTAGGGGAGGTAAGGTCTAGGTCTAAGGCTAAGGACTAGGTCTAAGGTCTAAGGCTAAGGCTAAGGCTTAAGGCTAAGGCTAACATCGACAGTCACGCCTCACCCCACGGTGTGGGGTCGGCGGATTTGCGTGGGCCTTTTTGGTACCTTATGGCCTTATGGGACTGTTTGCCACACTCATTTATATATATATATATATATATCTATAAAACATGCCTGTTGTCTGAGATGGATTCCGTGTGGAGGCCCGCTGTTCAACATGATGTCATCGATGCATTCGCCTTCGACGTGTTTTTTTTCTCAAGCGTCAGGCAGCAGAAAATTTGGTGACCTTTGCGATCTGGAAAACATTCAGCCAGGATTCAGGATCGTGGAAGCCCATTTGTAACATCAAAACCCTGCAAGGCAACGTCCAGGAAACGCCACAGGATGACTTGAACCTCCCCCAAGAACCCCAGCCCAAGCACATCACACCACATCACACCGCTTTTTCACCACGTCCTAGACTCGTCTAGCCTGTGCTCGGCCGCAGCAGGTATATGACCCTTCGCGACGACCTGGTCTTTTTCATCTTCCTGTACCAGTCCACTCCTTGGGCGCTTCGAGTGGCGAGTCGACCGGTCGAGACGGTCTGTCAGACCGGTCGGCCTCGAGGCGGTACATGTACAGCGTGGACAAGAGCCGTCCAGATGAATATGGCTTTGCCCGGAACCTTAGATGTCAATGACGTGTTAAAGGTATCCGTATCAGTTCATGACAGTTCATGACAGACGTTCAGAGAGGGGTGAGCATGGCGGAAGAGTTGGGTTTGCTGTGCGAAGAAGAGAGGTCATTCGAACCGAAATTCGTATGAATTCGTTGATGGGAGAATCATGGCGTTTGCAACGTTATGTTTGTTTACTGTACTTGTTTCGGTGTTTCTTCTCAGCTCATCCATACATGGTTTTATTTTGTCTCAGACAATCAGTAGTGCCCAAGTAGTCTCCAACTGCCCTATCTCGAAGTGTTGACGAAAACGGTGGGTCTCCATGCATGTTCCCCAAGGTACATGACGGAGGTGCTCCACTAGAAGGAGCTACCAGTGATGGTTCTTCATTGGCGCCTGCAGTCGGAGAAGGAACAGCTGGAAGTATTGATGCCACTCGAACTGCGCCTGAAGTTGGAGGAGGGACTACTGATGCGCGTGTTGCTACCCTTGAGGCTGAAGAAGGAACCAGCGATGAACCCTCACTGACGCCTGCCGTTGAAAGAGGAAGTGCTGGCAGCACTGATGCCACGGCGGCTGCGTCTGACGTTGATGGAGCGCCTGAAGAGGAAGTGCCAGTAGTTGAAGGAGCTACCAGTCATGTCCCCTCAGCAGCTGCAGTGGCAGGAAGTGTGGCGCCCGAAGATGAAGTGCCTACAGTCGAACAAGATGAACAAGGTCCTGTTGATCAAGCTAGTCCTGAAGCCTCTCTAGACGCAAAGTAGGAGGAGCTGCCAAGCCTTTCCGTGACGCATTCGCCACATTCCCAGAAAGCACACGCGACAAAGCACGCGGCAGCCACGCGCGACCACCAGTGACATCGGACTCCAAGAAGTGACTGGTGGCGGTTTTTGCACAGAACCGGTGGCGGTATGCCCTGCCCCCCCCTGGTGGTGTAGAGGATGAAATATAATCTGAAATAAAGGGCATATAAAGGGCCATGGCATCCATTTCCAGTTCCAGGCAGTGACACCCATGTGGTTCCTACGGGAAAAGCCATGGATTTGCCTGACAAAGACTTCCAGCTGAAACTGGAGCCAGACATAGCCAGACAGCCCTGGACCTCATGTGCCTGGATCATCCCCCTACCCCCAACAACCAGACATAAATTTGGTAGTCAAGGGGTCGAGGGCACCCACCGTGGGGTGGAAGTCTGTCGGGTGCATGCCTGCACCCGATAGAAACATCACTTTGATGGTCGAGATTTTGCGTTCGACGTGGGTTCTTTTGATATTCCGTCACCGGTGAGGCTTAGAAAAACTGATACTGTACACCATCATGATGGTACATGCATCAGTTTTATCATGTACCTTTATGTCCTCGCGTTTCGTGTTTGCTCGTCTACCACTGGTGGGGGGGGGTCCTTTTTGCAGGATCAACGGGCACGCGCGGTCCACGGGGTCAGGGTCACCATCGCTCGCCATGGCAACGAAGAAGGCCTCGAAGGCTTCCAAGTCAGCAGACTCCATCAATGCGCGCTTGCAGCTGGTCATGAAGAGCGGGAAGTACTGCTTGGGACTGAAGACCACTCTGAAAACCCTGCGTCAGGCGGGAGATGTGATGCTTTGTGGGGGTGATGTAGGCTCTTGATGACTTGATGACTCTTGACTCTTGACATCTCTTGATCAGATTTCAGCTCGTCGTATGAAGAGGTTTACTCCCAGTCTACCCCTACCCAGCCTCCAGGGGAAGTCCAAGCTGGTGCTGATCTCCAACAATTGCCCCGCCTTGCGCAAGAGTGAGATCGAGTACTACGCCATGCTGGCGAAGACCGGGGTGCACCACTTCCATGGCGACAACAACGAGCTGGGCACCGCCTGCGGCCGCTACTACCGGGTGAGCTGCTTGTCCATCACCGACCCAGGCGACTCCGACATCATCCGCAGCTTGCCCGGCCAGGAATGAGTGGAGACAGAGACGAAGACAACGCGATGCCCAGGAAAAGGTGCGACATGGGCGACCTGAAGTAAGGTATGTCCCAGGATGGGGGTTACAGATCTTGAAGGTTTCTTTTCCATGAACTCCGCGAGACCCACCTTTGATTCGCAGTTTGGCCAAATGAACTGTTCCAACTGCGTTGTGGGCATGGGTGCCGAAAGCACGGACCCCTCGGTGCGTGGGAAGAGTCCATGGGAGCGGAAGGGAGACGGCTACGGAGGGGCCGGGGACGATATCGCTGAAACATCCTGAAGCTGCACTGAAGCTTCCTTTGGAAATGTCTCTATCTTGCATGGCCGGAGGCGAAACTTGGATCCGGTTTTCCATGTTTTGTCTCTTGGGAGTCTGGAGCAACCTATCCGGCAGGGATCAACGATCCAACAATGGTGAGCTTTGGCATTGGTGCGCGTTTACGGAGAGAAACATGAACAACAACGGGCATTTAGGCTCAAAATCTGAGCAATCTACGGTCTACTTGTGGACGGCCAGGTCATACTTATTTCCATATTCTCATGGCAGATGCGCCGCTTCTCAGCGGGGCGATGCCCCAGCCTCAAGGTGGTGGAACCTTTTCTCCACCTGAAGGCGGGGCTGAACATCTTGCCGAGCATCTGTCTTGGAGGTTCTTTCAGGTCCTCAACCGCCGTAGGCTTGAGATACGCACCCCTGCCACACTCAACCTATAGATGCACATGAAGATGCCAGATCCTCCTGCTACGACACTGCTCACATGAGTATGGCTCCTACTCTACCTGTCCGTTTTGCCAACTCTTCGCTTGCACTCTTGCAAGACAAAAGAAACACATAGTGCAAAGTCTTGAACAAAGTTGAAACATGTTGAAGAACATATTTTGGACATGCTGACATGCTATACTCGCGCGCACACGCACACACACACTTTTGTTCATGTGGAGAGTATATTCACGAAAATGCCACGGACGTTCGCAACGCTTGCGCACCGTGGGACGTTCGCTCAGGGCTGTCCTCTTTGGAGGCCGCGGGACGCCTCCGGAAGGATGGTCCCAATGAGCTGGATCCCCCACAGGAGGAGCCCTTCCTGAGGATCCTTCTACGGCAGGCGGATTTGGCGGGGGACACGGCAGAGAACACCGCATGACCCGCCGTGGGGGGCCGGAATCTCCTCCAGTCTTTCCGCCGAAAACCGCCAAGCCGAACTTCCCGGGAGGGTCGCCGCGAACGGCGCGCCGCGTGACCCGCCAGGCGCAGAGCGTCTTCTTCCTGCTCTCGTTCCTGGCGGCGGTGCTGTGTCACAGCTCTGGGGATTCCTCGCGGGCGGCGATCCTGCTGGGTCTGGTGGTCACCGTGCTGCTGTCGAACACCTTCGGGGAAGCTCGGGTTTGGGCAGGTGGTGTAGGTGGCTGTAGTTGTTGTGGGTGGGATGACTGGGAGATGTGGAACGATGGGCAGGGGAATCGATCTGAAAAGATGAAGATTCACACCCAGGGTCCTTGTATCATCTTCGGACACCCCTTTTGTCAATCTTCGTCCTGTTGTCTATGTAGTTCTTGGCATGGCATTCGCTACAACATCATGGATGTCACAACATTGTCATCGGTTTCATCTCATTTGGGGCCGATGGTGAGTGAAAGCTGATGTGTTCTATAAAATACATGCACCATTGTTTATCATCATTTGAGGGCGGTCATGGTGAGTGCAACGGCTAGGCCCGCTAGGCGTTTATATCACAGCACATCATATTTTGGGGGTGAGCCGAACCACAGGCGGTTTTATTTTTCCAAGATAATACTCAAACATAGCAAAGGCTGTTGTAAGTGTTCACACATAGACAATCCAAATTGTTGGTTGGGAAGGCTTGGTAAGGTTGTACCCACCCAGCTGGGAGTGGCTGGGAGGCACTAGGAGGTTGAGTCTTTGGAGCCATTCGTTGCTGAGTGCATTGCCAGTTTGCCAGGGTTTGCCTGGTGCTGACAGATCGTGCATGCCGAGGGTTTCGTTTGATCTTTGCGTACTTGCTGCACTACCTGACTAATCCTGTCTGACTACCTGTGACGAACATGGGCGAATTGCGTGTTTGTCACGACTACCTGTGTACTTTTGCACGGCTCAAGAAGAGGAGTCAAGGTGTCAAGGGATGCAAGGTGAGGCGGTTCTGCCGGAAGATGGGCAGGTTCAATCCAAGCCTCTCAGCTGCGGAAGTAGTCCCCTGTTCCGTAGTGGATAACATCTCCACCACTCGGATGGCCCAGGTCCACCAATTCAGGCATACAGTGTCAGTTGGATGAGAAGATCACGACAATTCAGACACACACACAAACACAAACACTTGCACTTATTGTAGGTTGAGAGCAGATGTCACAATCCTGAAAAGGCTGCTTAAATTGACCCCCATCTAAAGGACATCTTGCGGATTGTGCCATTTGCTCTGAAACCACCATACAAAAGTAAAGAACTGGCAGGGGAACGACCTGTGCCCCCAAAAAGGAAAAACGCCTTGGTTCTGACAGCTCATGCTCTGGCGTAATGCCGGTTCGCCCTGCACTGCCCGTTCTCCCCAGGAATACAGCGGCCAGGATGCGGGCAAAGCGCTTTCGAAGATGACGGCGCCTCGATGTCGCTGCTTGCGCGATGGGCAGGTCGTGGAGTTGGAGGCGAAGACTCTAGTGCCGGGCGACGTGGTGCCGCTGACGACCGGCGACGTCATGTGGCCTGGCGTACAGCGCGCGGGCGGACCGGCGGACCATGTGTACGGCGTGTGGGAGATGTAATGGATGATGTATGCTTCCAATTAACTGTAACAGTCATTTAAAGGGTATATATTAAAAGAGTAGCACCATGGAAGCACCATGAATCACCATTTTTCTCTAAGCTTTTGCGTTTTGTTGCAAAGGTGTTCTATTTTTTAACTTAGGGAGACCGTCCGCTGCAGACATTTGGTAGAATTGCATGGGGCAAAAGTTGTGCGCTTGCTCGTGCAACTTTTCGTGCTATTCTTGTGCTCATTTGTGCACATGCTCGTGCAACTTTTCGTGCTATTCTTCGTGCTCATTTGTGCAC